GTTTTACAATTTTTATGTATCTTGAATACCAATTTATTTTCAGCGACAAATCATAAAATAATTCCTCCATTTTGTGTATCTTTATCTCCGCCCTGCAGGAAAAAAATGGCGTTCGCTAACGCCACAAGATCGAAGGCCGTACGTGGAGGAGGCGGAGCGCCTACGGGTGATTCACATGACGGAGCACCCGAACTACAAGTACAGACCCCGGCGGCGCAAGCAGTCCAAGCTACGGGCCATGCAGCCGGGCGGCAAGGAGCAGAGCGAGAGTTCGCCCAATCCGGGCGCTGGTAGTGGTGGTTCCAAGACGAATCCCAAGCTGGCCACGCCCCCGTTGGCCACCGCGTCCTCCAGCTACACCACGCCCACCGACGAGAGCACCTGCAACTCCACGAGCCAGAGCCACAACCAGGCCACTCCGGGCGGCCTCTACGAGCAGCCGCTGAAGCCCACGTATTCGCCCAGCTCCGTGGACTGCTACAGCAATGCGGACAGCACGGAGCAGATCGAGTCGCTGGCCGCCAACTGTGCGCCCGCCCTGCTCAGCGATCCATCGCCCACGGGCGGGGGCTACGACAGCTCCCTGCTGCTCAAGAAGTTGACCAAGCCGCCGACCAGTCGAGCGGCCAAATCCCGCCAGGAGAAGCTCTCCAAGACGGGGGAGGACAAGGGTAAGGGCCAGGCGCAGGGGTCATCCCAGCAGGGACTGTACGCCGCCTCCTATCCCCTGGCACCCACTTCGGTGGCCGTGGTGGCGGCCCGGGGAATGTACGTGACCTGCAACAACCGGGGCTTGCTGGATCATGGCCACTCTGTTAAGGGCACCTTCTACCCGCCGGTGTCCGTTTCGGAAGACGACAGCAGCCCCTCGATGCGAAACAGCATCAGTGTGTTGCAGCAGCATTGTAATCTGGCCACCAGCACGCCCTCCAGCTCCGCCGGACCCATTCCCAGCAGCGAGATGAGCGGCTACACGGTGTCCATGGCGGATAACTGCGGCAACCTGCGGCTCAGCATGAACGAGTTGGCCGGCAATGAGTATCTGCCAAGCGCCAATGCCTACGGCATGCAATACGAGGACTTCCTGCGCTATCAGAGCAACGACCTGGACTACTCATCGCCGGCCGTTGTGGAGCACAAAGAAGCCACTCCGGAGTCGGCGGGTGCCCAGAAGTGCTTGAAGTACCCGGACACGAATCAGAACTACGACGACTACGAGGCAGAGGCCTATAGCAACGCCATGCTGCCGGCCACAGCGGCCAGCTACTACACCCAGCTCCCGTATCCACCCACCTCGCTGGCCGCCTTCCCGCTCCAGCTGGCGGTGCCGTTCCAACAGACGACGTCCGCCGCCTACGGAGCCCAGCCCATGCAGAGCGGCTACCTGCACTACGGCAACTACGGGGGCTACGAGGGCATGGCCCAGGGCCAGCCGCAAAACCAGGCGCCAGTGCATCAGCAGCAACAGCAGCAGCAGCAACAGGCCTCGCACTCGGCTCCGCCCTCCTTGTCGGCACCTCCGCCCAACCAGACGGTGATTTCATCCAATCCGGCAGCTGTCTCCATGCAACACCATCATCATTTTGGACCCGGACCCGGAATGGTCGGCGTGGGCGTGGGCGTGGGAGTGGGAGTGGGCGTCGGAGTGGGGGAGATGCTATTCGAGCAGCAGCAGCGCAAAGATGATGAGATTAGCAACATTCTGGCAGGAGTGCGCAAGACCTGCTACAGCAACTGAATCCGATCAGACACATTTGTAATTTTGGTAACTAGAGTTTAGAGAGTGGTTTAGGTAGTCTTAAGATTGCCCATCCCCCCAACCCCTGACCCCAACCGCAAGCACCCACAATGTTCTTCCAGCCCTCGAACCTAGACCTAGAACTCTTTGAATTGTACAATTATTAGAACTTTATAAATACATACCATCGTAAAAAGAACAAAACGAAATAAAGTAAAAGCTAAGTAATCGAATCACATAATCGATTTCAATGTTGCAGTGGAACGCAAGTGTGTAATGACAGCTCCGGGGTGGAACGCGAATGGACCGTGACCATATGACACTGACACAGCCACAGGCACAGCCACCCGATATATACACGACCGGAGCCTGCGCACTGCCAGTTCCATCAGGTTGGAGTGCAAAGATTTTCTTTTCTCATTAGCACGGCCACAGATTTCCCACGTTACATAAAATTCACAAGCCGTTTTCAATTAATTTCCGCATTCGATTCGCGGCTGTTTTAGCTGGTTCCAAACTGGACATCGAGATTCGAGTGAGCAGGATGTGCAAGTATCCGAGAATCGCATGATTAACGTGCTCCATTCGCACAAGGGCGCCAAGAAGTCGAAATCACCACCCAAATCTGAGACAAAATTCAGTTTTATTTTCTAGATTGCTCATGTACTTAATGTGACCACTGTAGCGAAATTCGAGAACCATTGCGAAAGCTGGAGGCCAACGAAATTGTAGCAGCAAATTTTGACCATAGGCAAAATCGATAAACTTCAGCCCATTTGAGTCAAGCGTCGAACGCCTTCTTGACACCACCGCAGCCGCCGCCATCCGACTACCACCCCCACCACCACCACCACCAACACCACCACAAGTCATCCCACCATCATCAGGGCCATATATAGCACACAGCATCCAACATGTCGTTCATAGCCAAATTGAAAGCCACGCCATTGCCGCCCCTGAAAAACATACTGAACGTGGCCGTGCAAACGGCCCGACAGCAAATTCCACAGCGCAAGGATTACGAGCAACCGCCGGGCGGGACACAGCAGCACCACCAGCACAACCAGCACGCCCAGCAGAAGTCCATGGAGGCGGGCATGGACGGCGGCGGCGGCGACCAGACCACCGAGATGAGCTCCAATCCCTTCCGGAATGCCGGAGGCTGGGCCAACGAGGCCGATGGCGATGGTGATGGCGGGGGTGAGTACAGGAACGAGTACCAGAGCACATCCTTCAACGAGTACGACGGCCGGTATCAGCAAACGGATGGCTTTAGGTGAGTCCCAGCACTCAAAGTGACCACAATCGATTATCCGCAATCTAACCAATCTACCCAAACCAGGCAAGGCAGCATAGCCTCGGAGGGCAGCTCATTTGTCTGCGAGGGAGAGGGTGGCGGCGGCTGCAAGATCGACGAGTTCCAGGCGGGATGGAACGTGACAAACGCCATCCAAGGGATGTTCATCGTATCGCTGCCCTTCGCCGTGCTCCATGGCGGCTACTGGGCCATTGTGGCCATGGTGGGCATAGCACACATTTGCTGCTACACGGGCAAGGTGCTGGTGCAGTGTCTATACGAACCAGATCCGGCCACGGGGCAGATGGTGCGAGTGCGCGACAGTTATGTGGCCATTGCCAAGGTTTGTTTCGGGCCCAAGCTGGGCGCCCGGGCCGTCAGCATTGCCCAGCTCATCGAGCTCCTGATGACCTGCATCCTGTACGTGGTCGTGTGCGGCGATCTGTTGGCCGGAACGTATCCGCAGGGCTCGTTCGACTCGCGATCCTGGATGCTGTTCGTGGGCATCTTCCTGCTGCCCATGGGCTTCCTGAAGTCACTGAAAATGGTCTCGACCCTCTCGTTCTGGTGCACAATGTCGCACATCGTGATAAACGCCGTTATACTCGGCTATTGCCTGCTGCAGATCGGCGACTGGGGCTGGTCCAAGGTCCGCTTCAGCATCGACATGGAGAACTTTCCCATCTCGCTGGGTGTGATCGTCTTCTCGTACACCTCGCAGATCTTTCTGCCCACCCTCGAGGGCAACATGATCGACCGCTCCAAGTTTAATTGGATGCTGGACTGGTCTCACATCGCCGCTGCTGTGTTTAAGGCCGGATTCGGCTACATCTGCTTTCTGACCTTCCAGAACGACACGCAGCAGGTGATCACCAACAATCTGCACTCGCAGGGCTTTAAGGGTATGGTGAACTTCTTTCTGGTCATCAAGGCCCTACTTAGCTACCCCTTGCCCTATTACGCTGCCTGCGAACTGCTCGAGCGCAACTTTTTTCGCGGTCCGCCGAAGACCAAATTTCCAACCATCTGGAATCTGGACGGGGAACTGAAGGTCTGGGGCCTGGGCTTCCGCGTCGGCGTGATCGTGGCCACCATACTGATGGCCATCTTCATTCCCCACTTCTCCATTCTGATGGGTTTCATTGGCAGCTTCACGGGCACTATGCTAAGCTTTATCTGGCCGTGCTATTTCCACATCAAGATCAAGGGGCATCTGCTCGATCAGAAGGAAATAGTCAAAGACTACCTCATCATCGGGCTCGGCGTGCTTTTTGGCGTTATCGGTATCTACGATTCGGGAAATGCCCTGATCAATGCATTTGAAATTGGTCTTCCGTTTTAACTTTATAGTAGCTTATCCAATTGGGAGATCGAGCTTCATATTTTATGGTTCTTTGCACTTTTGGGCATGGCAAGTCTTCCAAATGCTTTGTCATTATTTGTGCAATGCCCAAAACTCCGAAGATGTAGTTAATTGAATACCATACACTCGAAACGAAACTAAAAAACAATAATATTAGTCTTTAAGAAACGAAACGCAAGTCTTCCAACAAGCGAACAAATGTCTTCCAAACAAAAATAATAACAATTTATGTTGTACACAAAATAGAAGTTAAGTAAATCGATTAATATATAATTATACATATGTACTATTATGAAAAGAGAAATATTTATTGTGTTAATATGCATTATAAGATATAGAAAAATTGAACAGAGAAAAACAATAAACTGCATATGTACACCATTATACAAATAAAAAACGAAATGTACGAGTATATTATAGATAGAACTCATTGTTTATATATAGTCGAGCGGATTTTTTTAACGTTTAAATATACAGTTACCTTTACATACTAGCCCTTAAAACGACACTAGCATCTTTTTAACTCTTAATAAAGACGTCATCTCCAGTTGATCCTGAAAAAAACAACCCACTCTCGTCCTTAAAGAAATTTAAAAAGCTACTTCGATTCAAAAATTGGTGTTTATTGTTAATCTTCAGTTTCGGATTGGTTTGTATATTGTATAAAACATATATTGTCATGGAAGCTTAGCTTATTATTAATATGGGATATGTGTATTAGTAAAGCAAAATATATGTATTCTCGTAGGGTGGCTTTGTTAGTTTGAGGTCTTAAAGAACTTGTGTTCTTGAGTACTCCTGGTATGTTGGAATGCACCTTGATTAATCTTATGCACAGCACAGGTCGTTTTCGGGGCAGTTATGTATTCGCTCTTGTACAGACTGGAGCTGGTGAATTTGTCGTTGCCCAGACTAATTGAGGACTGATTGCCACGGCGGGTGACCACTCGCTCGTGTTGTCCGTGAGCACTGTAGGAGGGGAAATCGATGCCGCCGCCTAAACTGGACACATGCTGACTTCCACGGTGACGGGTCGCATGGCTTCCGACGTGGGAGTGAGATTGAGACGGAAAATCGATGCCAGCCCCCGACACTTGGGTGCGTGTAACCGTTGAACGTTCGACATTCGATCTGCTTTCGGTCCCGGTACCCCCACCAGAAATTATGCGGGACATAGAGGATGAGTTCTTCACGTTGTGTTCCCTGTTTTCCTTATGCACATTGCAGGTTCGACGTTCGCTTGTATAGGTAGTATTTGCGTCAGAGTCTCGATTCTGGCGATGGATGCTGCTGTAGCTTTGACGCTCCCCGCCATGGGTGGTGGTACTGGATGGTTGCTCGTGTAGATTGAGTATACTTTTACGCTGCATCTTTCCGTTGGAGGTCAGGCTGCCATTGGCAGTATTTAAATCGCTGGTTACGCTCTTGCGATGGAAGACCGTATTTGAGACGTCCGCTTCGGAGGAAAACTCACTTTTTCGGTGATGGAAGTTCTTTGAAGTGCTCATGTGTGAGGTTGAGCTTCCTGTTACAATATTATTGCTGGAGCTTGGGCCTCCAGAAACCACCCGCGACGTTGAACCTTCGGTATTGTTGCGTCCTACAGTGCTACCGGACAACACTCTGTTTGCGGTACCACCAATTATGTTATTGGAGACAGATCTTCCGGAAACCAAATGGGTAGTTGATTCACACGCTATGTTGCTGGAAACGTTTCTTCCTGAGATTACACGAGAGGTCGAATCATCAGTAACGTTGCTGGTTATATTTCTGCCAACTACGCGAGTCGATGAAGAGTCCCCAGCTACAGTATCAGAAATTGTTTCACCTAATACCACTTGGGATCTAATGCCGCCCGTGATATTTCCGGTGACACGTCTATTATTTGTTTCAATATCGCTTCTGGATACATCAGATCCTCTTATATTTACCGTAGTCAGTTCAGAGTTTTGGATTGTTTTGTGGTTTCTTTGCAACGATGTGGTTTCATTGTGAATGTTTTGGGTATTCTCGATGTTTGTCGTTGTTGTATTCTTGGCAACATTTTCGATTACGTTTATCTTTGCTGGCCTCTTGACATATTCCGTTTCTGGTTCTTTCTTGTGGCGCCCTCCAATCACAGTAGTAACCTTCTTTGTGGATACAACAATTAAGCCGTCAACTGGGTTTTGACTGTTGGAATCAACTTGTTTAACTGCATCCTTTCCAGATACATAATTCATTTGATTGGTCGTTTTGAGGATAGAAGTATCGCTACCCAAAGTAATAGATGAACTGTTGTGGTTGATTTTTTGAACGCGTTGAATTTTATTGACAGTTGTTTTGTCGGCCGTATTTTTATAGTCATCCTTTCTGGTTACAGTCATAGACCCTTCCAGCTTTAGATTGTCGACGGGACGCTTTGGAGTTTCTCTTTTCATAGTTTCTGTAACAATCGTGCTATCGGTTTCGCTTCGGTCGGTCCTCTTATAAAATTCACCTTCTGGTTTAAGGTTATCCTTAGGTTTCTTTTGAATTGGTCGTTCAGCAGGCCTAAAGGTTGTCTTATCTGGTGTGTAGAATTCGCCTTCTACTTTAAGATTATCGCTTGGTTTCACTTGCTCTGGTCGTTTAACATGATGGTATTCCTCTTTCTGGGTAAAAGTCATTTCACCCTCGCTTTTTAAATTGTCTTTTCTAATAACAGTCTTTACTCTATCCGCCGGCCGGAACCCTTCTTTTTCTGGGATGTGCATCTTACCTTCCGGTTTCAAGTTATCGACATATTTCTTCTGTTCTGGGCGGGAAGCTGGCTCATATTTCGGCTTATCAGGGGTGTACATTACTCCTTCCGTCTTGAGATTGTCCTTAGGCCTAACCGCCTCTGGGCGTTCACCGTTCGTAGGAACTGCCTTTTCTGGTACGTAAAACTTCCCAGTTGTTTTTAAGTTATCTTCTGGTTTTACTGGAGAGGGTCTTATAACGTGCTGGTACTCAGTTTTTTCTGTAAATATCATTTCTCCTTCACTGCGAAGGTTGTCTTTATGAATAACTCTTGTAACCTTATCGGCAGGCTTATATGTAACCTTCTTTGGCATATCCATCACACCCTCCGGTTTCAAATTGTCAATAGGCTTTTTCTGTTTAGGTCTTTCGGCAGGCTTGAATTCTTGTTTGTCTTGGACGTAGAACTCTCCCTCAAGTTTTAAGTTATCCTTCTGCCTCACAACGGTCACCCGCTCACCTGGTTGATACTTTGATTTATCGGGACTGTAGAACTCTCCTTCGGGCTTTAGGTTGTCAGTTGGTTTCACTTGATCTGGCCTAACAACATACTGATACTCTTTTTTATCTACAAAAGTCATTTCACCTTCGGTGCGTAAATTGTCCTTTTGGATGATTCTCTCAGTTTTTTCTGCAGGTTTATAAACCTGTTTTTCTGGTTGAACGAACTGTCCCTCTGGCTTAAGGTTATCAACGGGCTTCTTCGGCACTGGTCTTTCTCCTGGTCTATATCCTGGCTTTTCAGGAGCGTAGAAATTTCCTTCAGGTCTCAAATTATCCTCAGGTCGAACTTGGGATGGACGTTCTCCAGGCCTGTACGGTTGTCTTTCTGGACTGTAAAACTCTCCTTCCGGCCTTAAATTGTCATGTGGTTTCTTTTGAACTGGTCTCTCCGCCGGCTTGAATTCTGGTTTATCGGGTGTGTAGAATTCACCCTCTGGTCTGAGGTTATCTTCTGGCCTGACTTGAGAAGGTCTTTCGCCTGGCTTGTACCTCGGCTTCTCTGGACTGTAGAATTCTCCCTCGGGTTTCAGGTTGTCTTCTGGCTTCTTCTGAACAGGCCTTTCAGCGGGTCGGAAACCTGGTTTCTCCGGTGTGTAGAACTCACCCTCTGATCTTAGATTATCCTCTGGCCTGACTTGAGAAGGTCTTTCGCCTGGTTTGTATTTCGGTTTTTCAGGACTGTAGAAATCTCCTTCTGGTTTAAGATTGTCTTCTGGCTTCTTCTGAACAGGCCTCTCAGCGGGTCGGAAACCTGGCTTCTCCGGTGTGTAGAACTCACCCTCTGGCCTAAGATTATCCTCTGGTCTGACTTGAGATGGTCTTTCGCCTGGTTTGTACTTCGGCTTGTCAGGACTGTAGAATTCTCCTTCAGGCTTAAGGTTGTCCGTTGGTTTAACTTGGTCAGGACGCACAACATACTGATACTCTTCCCTCTCGACAAAAGTCATTTCACCCTCCGTGCGAAGATTATCTTTTCGAATAATTTTTTCAGTTTTTTCGGCTGGCTTGTAAACTTGTTTCTCAGGCTTGACAAATTCGCCTTCAGTCTTGAGGTTATCCTGCGGCTTTTTCTGAATGGGTCTCTCAGCGGGTCGGAACCCTGGCTTCTCCGGTGTGTAGAACTCACCCTCTGGCCTGAGATTATCCTCTGGCCTGACTTGAGATGGTCTTTCGCCTGGTTTGTATTTCGGCTTGTCAGGACTGTAGAATTCTCCTTCAGGCTTAAGGTTGTCCGTTGGTTTAACTTGGTCAGGACGCACAACATACTGATACTCTTCCCTCTCGACAAAAGTCATTTCTCCCTCAGTACGAAGATTATCTTTTCGAATAATTTTTTCAGTTTTCTCGCCCGGCTTGTAAACTTGTTTCTCAGGCTTGACAAATTCGCCCTCAGGCTTGAGGTTATCCTGCGGCTTCTTTTGGACAGGCCTTTCTGCAGGTCGGAAGCCCGGCTTCTCCGGTGTGTAGAACTCACCCTCTGGCCTGAGATTATCCTCCGGTCTGACTTGCGAAGGTCTTTCGCCTGGTTTGTATTTCGGTTTTTCAGGACTGTAGAATTCTCCTTCAGGTTTTAGGTTGTCTTCAGGCTTCTTCTGAACAGGCCTCTCAGCCGGTCGGAAACCTGGCTTCTCCGGAGTGTAGAACTCACCCTCTGGCCTGAGATTATCCTCTGGCCTGACTTGAGATGGTCTTTCGCCTGGTTTGTATTTCGGCTTGTCAGGACTGTAGAATTCCCCTTCAGATTTAAGGTTGTCTTCTGGCTTCTTCTGAACAGGCCTTTCAGCGGGTCGGAAACCCGGCTTTTCCGGTGTGTAGAACTTACCCTCTGGCCTGAGATTATCCTCTGGCCTGACTTGAGATGGTCTTTCGCCAGGTTTGTACTTCGGCTTGTCAGGACTGTAGAATTCTCCTTCAGGCTTAAGGTTGTCCGTTGGTTTAACTTGGTCAGGACGCACAACATACTGATACTCTTCCCTCTCGACAAAAGTCATTTCTCCCTCAGTACGAAGATTATCTTTTCGAATAATTTTTTCAGTTTTCTCGGCCGGCTTGTAAACTTGTTTCTCAGGCTTGACAAATTCGCCCTCAGGCTTGAGGTTATCCTGCGGCTTCTTTTGGACAGGCCTCTCAGCGGGTCGGAAACCTGGCTTTTCCGGTGTGTAGAACTCACCCTCTGGCCTAAGATTATCCTCCGGTCTGACTTGAGATGGTCTTTCGCCAGGTTTGTACTTCGGCTTGTCAGGACTGTAGAATTCTCCTTCAGGTTTAAGGTTGTCTTCTGGCTTCTTCTGAACAGGCCTCTCAGCGGGTCGGAAACCTGGCTTCTCCGGTGTGTAGAACTCACCCTCTGGCCTGAGATTATCCTCTGGCCTGACTTGAGATGGTCTTTCGCCTGGTTTGTACTTCGGCTTGTCAGGACTGTAGAATTCCCCTTCAGGTTTAAGGTTGTCTTTTGGCTTCTTCTGAACAGGCCTCTCAGCGGGTCGGAAACCTGGCTTCTCCGGTGTGTAGAACTCACCCTCTGGCCTGAGATTATCCTCCGGTCTGACTTGCGAAGGTCTTTCGCCTGGTTTGTATTTCGGTTTTTCAGGACTATAGAATTCTCCTTCAGGTTTTAGGTTGTCTTCAGGCTTCTTCTGAACAGGCCTCTCAGCGGGTCGGAAACCTGGCTTCTCCGGTGTGTAGAACTCACCCTCTGGCCTGAGATTATCCTCTGGCCTGACTTGAGATGGTCTTTCGCCTGGTTTGTACTTCGGCTTGTCAGGACTGTAGAATTCCCCTTCAGGTTTAAGGTTGTCTTCTGGCTTCTTCTGAACAGGCCTCTCAGCGGGTCGGAAACCCGGCTTCTCCGGTGTGTAGAACTCACCCTCTGGCCTGAGATTATCCTCTGGCCTGACTTGAGATGGTCTTTCGCCAGGTTTGTACTTCGGCTTGTCAGGACTGTAGAATTCTCCTTCAGGCTTAAGGTTGTCCGTTGGTTTAACTTGGTCAGGACGCACAACATACTGATACTCTTCCCTCTCGACAAAAGTCATTTCTCCCTCAGTACGAAGATTATCTTTTCGAATAATTTTTTCAGTTTTCTCGGCCGGCTTGTAAACTTGTTTCTCAGGCTTGACAAATTCGCCCTCAGGCTTGAGGTTATCCTGCGGCTTCTTTTGGACAGGCCTCTCAGCGGGTCGGAAACCTGGCTTTTCCGGTGTGTAGAACTCACCCTCTGGCCTAAGATTATCCTCCGGTCTAACTTGAGATGGTCTTTCGCCAGGTTTGTACTTCGGCTTGTCAGGACTGTAGAATTCTCCTTCAGGTTTAAGGTTGTCTTCTGGCTTCTTCTGAACAGGCCTCTCAGCGGGTCGGAAACCTGGCTTCTCCGGTGTGTAGAACTCACCCTCTGGCCTGAGATTATCCTCTGGCCTGACTTGAGATGGTCTTTCGCCAGGTTTGTACTTCGGCTTGTCAGGACTGTAGAATTCTCCTTCAGGCTTAAGGTTGTCCGTTGGTTTAACTTGGTCAGGACGCACAACATACTGATACTCTTCCCTCTCGACAAAAGTCATTTCTCCCTCAGTACGAAGATTATCTTTTCGAATAATTTTTTCAGTTTTTTCGGCCGGCGTGTAAACTTGTTTCTCAGGCTTGACAAATTCGCCCTCAGGCTTGAGGTTATCCTGCGGCTTCTTTTGGACAGGCCTTTCTGCAGGTCGGAAACCCGGCTTCTCCGGTGTGTAGAACTCACCCTCTGGCCTGAGATTATCCTCCGGTCTGACTTGCGAAGGTCTTTCACCTGGTTTGTATTTCGGTTTTTCAGGACTGTAGAATTCTCCTTCAGGTTTAAGGTTGTCTTCTGGCTTCTTCTGAATAGGCCTCTCAGCGGGTCGGAAACCTGGCTTTTCCGGTGTGTAGAACTCACCCTCTGGCCTGAGATTGTCCTCCGGTTTGACTTGCGAAGGTCTTTCGCCTGGTTTGTATTTCGGCTTGTCAGGACTGTAGAATTCTCCTTCAGGCTTAAGGTTGTCCGTTGGTTTAACTTGGTCAGGACGCACAACATACTGATACTCTTCCCTCTCGACAAAAGTCATTTCTCCCTCAGTACGAAGATTATCTTTTCGAATAATTTTTTCAGTTTTTTCGGCCGGCGTGTAAACTTGTTTCTCAGGCTTGACAAATTCGCCCTCAGGCTTGAGGTTATCCTGCGGCTTCTTTTGGACAGGCCTCTCAGCGGGTCGGAAACCTGGCTTTTCCGGTGTGTAGAACTCACCCTCTGGCCTGAGATTATCCTCTGGTCTGACTTGAGATGGTCTTTCGCCTGGTTTGTATTTCGGTTTTTCAGGACTGTAGAATTCTCCTTCAGGTTTAAGGTTGTCTTCTGGCTTCTTCTGAACAGGCCTCTCTGCAGGTCGGAAACCTGGCTTTTCCGGTGTGTAGAACTCACCCTCCGGCCTAAGATTATCCTCTGGTCTGACTTGAGATGGTCTTTCGCCTGGTTTGTACTTCGGCTTGTCAGGACTGTAGAATTCTCCTTCAGGTTTAAGGTTGTCTTCTGGCTTCTTCTGAATAGGCCTCTCAGCGGGTCGGAAACCTGGCTTTTCCGGTGTGTAGAACTCACCCTCTGGCCTGAGATTATCCTCTGGCCTGACTTGAGAAGGTCTTTCGCCTGGTTTGTACTTCGGCTTGTCAGGACTGTAGAATTCTCCTTCAGGTTTAAGGTTGTCTTCTGGCTTCTTCAGAATAGGCCTCTCAGCGGGTCGGAAACCTGGCTTTTCCGGTGTGTAGAACTCACCCTCTGGCCTGAGATTGTCCTCCGGTTTGACTTGAGAAGGTCTTTCGCCTGGTTTGTACTTCGGCTTGTCAGGACTGTAGAATTCTCCTTCAGGCTTAAGGTTGTCCGTCGGTTTAACTTGGTCAGGACGCACAACATACTGATACTCTTCCCTCTCGACAAAAGTCATTTCTCCCTCAGTACGAAGATTATCTTTTCGAATAATTCTTTCAGTTTTCTCGGCCGGCTTGTAAACTTGTTTCTCAGGCTTGACAAATTCGCCCTCAGGCTTGAGGTTATCCTGCGGCTTCTTTTGGACAGGCCTCTCAGCGGGTCGGAAACCTGGCTTTTCCGGTGTGTAGAACTCACCCTCTGGCCTAAGATTATCCTCCGGTCTGACTTGAGATGGTCTTTCGCCTGGTTTGTATTTCGGTTTTTCAGGACTGTAGAATTCTCCTTCAGGTTTTAGGTTGTCTTCAGGCTTCTTCTGAACAGGCCTCTCAGCGGGTCGGAAACCTGGCTTCTCCGGTGTGTAGAACTCACCCTCTGGCCTGAGATTATCCTCCGGTCTGACTTGCGAAGGTCTTTCGCCTGGTTTGTATTTCGGTTTTTCAGGACTGTAGAATTCTCCTTCAGGTTTAAGGTTGTCTTCTGGCTTCTTCTGAACAGGCCTCTCAGCAGGTCGGAAACCTGGCTTTTCCGGTGTGTAGAACTCACCCTCCGGCCTAAGATTATCCTCTGGTCTGACTTGAGATGGTCTTTCGCCTGGTTTGTACTTCGGCTTGTCAGGACTGTAGAATTCTCCTTCAGGTTTAAGGTTGTCTTCTGGCTTCTTCTGAATAGGCCTCTCAGCGGGTCGGAAACCTGGCTTTTCCGGTGTGTAGAACTCACCCTCTGGCCTGAGATTATCCTCTGGCCTGACTTGAGAAGGTCTTTCGCCTGGTTTGTATTTCGGCTTGTCAGGACTGTAGAATTCTCCTTCAGGCTTAAGGTTGTCCGTCGGTTTAACTTGGTCAGGACGCACAACATACTGATACTCTTCCCTCTCGACAAAAGTCATTTCTCCTTCAGTACGAAGATTATCTTTTCGAATAATTTTTTCAGTTTTCTCGGCCGGCTTGTAAACTTGTTTCTCAGGCTTGACAAATTCGCCCTCAGGCTTGAGGTTATCCTGCGGCTTCTTTTGGACAGGCCTTTCTGCAGGTCGGAAACCCGTCTTCTCCGGTGTGTAGAACTCACCCTCTGGCCTAAGATTATCCTCCGGTCTGACTTGAGATGGTCTTTCGCCTGGTTTGTATTTCGGCTTGTCAGGACTGTAGAATTCTCCTTCAGGCTTAAGGTTGTCCGTTGGTTTAACTTGGTCAGGTCGCACAACATACTGATACTCTTCCCTCTCGACAAAAGTCATTTCTCCCTCCGTGCGAAGATTATCTTTTCGAATAATTTTTTCAGTTTTCTCGGCCGGCTTGTAAACTTGTTTCTCAGGCTTGACAAATTCGCCCTCAGGCTTGAGGTTATCCTGCGGTTTCTTTTGAACAGGCCTTTCCGCGGGTCGGAAGCCCGGCTTCTCCGGCGTGTAGAACTCACCCTCTGGCTTAAGATTATCCTCTGGTCTGACTTGAGAAGGTCTTTCACCTGGCTTATACCTAGGTTTCTCGGGACTGTAGAATTCTCCTTCGGGTTTTAGGTTGTCCTCTGGCTTCTTCTGAACAGGCCTCTCAGCAGGTCGGAAACCTGGCTTCTCCGGCGTGTAGAAGTCACCCTCTGGTCTGAGATTATCCTCTGGCCTGACTTGGGAGGGTCTTTCGCCCGGTGTGTACATCGACTTCTCAGGACTGTAAAAATCTCCTTCAGGTTTCAGGTTGTCCTCTGGCTTCTTTTGCACGGGCCTCTCAGCGGGTCGGTATCCTGGCTTATCTGGTGTATAGAACTCACCCTCAGGTCGGAGATTATCTTCAGGTCTGACTTGGGATGGTCTTTCTCCCGGTCTGTATTTTGGTTTTTCTGGACTATAAAATTCACCCTCGGGTCTTAAGTTATCATTTGGTTTTTTCTGTACAGGTCTATCAGCGGGCGTGAATCCAGGTTTTACCGGAGCATAAAAATCACCCTCAGGTCTCAGGTTGTCTTCTGGTCTTATTTGAGAAGGTCTTTCCCCAGGGCGGAATTTGGGCCTATCGGGACTGTAAAATTCTCCTTCAGGCTTAAGATTATCCGTTGGTTTTACTTGGTCAGGACGCATAACATACTGATACTCTTCCCTCTCGACAAACGTCATTTCTCCTTCCGTGCGAAGATTATCTTTCCGAATAATTATTTCAGTTTTATCAGCCGGTTTGTAAACTTGCTTCTCAGGCTTAGCGAATTCTCCTTCTGGCCTAAGATTGTCCTCAGGCTTCTTTTGAACTGGTCGCTCTGCAGGCTGAAATCCTGGTTGTTCGGGAGTATAGAAATCACCTTCGGTTTTCAGATTGTCAACAGGACGAACTTGAGATGGACGGTCGCCTGGGAGATATTTCGGTTTCTCAGGACTATAAAATTCACCTTCAGGTCTTAAGTTATCCGTTGGCTTGACTTGTCCCGGTCGTGTTACATATTGATATTCTTCTCTCTCCACAAACGTCATTTCTCCTTCTGTCCGCAAGTTATCACTGCGTATTATTTTTTCTGGTTTTTCGGCAGGTCGGTAGGTTTGTTTTTCTGGAGAAGAAAACTCCCCTTCCGGCTTAAGGTTATCAACGGGTTTCTTTTGCGTTACGCGGTCAGCTGGGATATAGCCCGGTTTTTCAGGAGTATAGAAGTCACCTTCTGGCCTAAGGTTGTCATGATGTCTTACTTGAGTAGGCCTATCACCCGGTTGATATATCGGTTTTTCTGGAGTATAGAATTCGCCTTCAGACTTAAGATTGTCTGTGGGCTTCACATACCCAGGACGGACAGTATACTGATATTCCTCTCTCTCTACAAAAGTCATTTCTCCCTCCGTTCGAAGATTGTCGCTATGCACAATTTTCTCACGTTTTTGTCCCGGCTTGTATGGCTCTTTTTGTGGAATCGTAAACTCTCCTTCAGGTCTTAAATTGTCTTCTGGTTTCTTTATTACTATGTAGTCCACGAGAATGTCTTCGTTTTGCTTGGGAATGTTTTCATTTTCTTTTTTCGACCATGTATTTGTACGAATCCTAGTATATGCTTCGTCTACGGTATCTGTAACAGTTAAAAACGTTTATTCAAAAAAGTATTACCTTAATAAATGTATTACACTTGCCATCGGTTTGAATGATCGATTTCTCTGAAGATTTCGTTGTACTGCTTGAGCAATGATGTCGCCTAAAATAATGTTACGGACTTAATAAAAGAATAACACATAAACTCAAGACCTATTAACCATACCCGCATGTGCAGATTTCACAGATGCACCTTTCACTATGTGATGTTGACTTGTTCCTTGCAACTCCTCGCTAAAAATAAAAATATAAAAATATTTTCAAATGTGCGAAATTGTTCTAAATTTAAAGAATGAATAAATTGTTAATGAACAAGAATTTTAGGAATCTTTTTTTTTTTCTTAACTAATGTACTTACGGTTTTTGAGTCGTCTAAGCGTTTCTTATCAGTGCGCACATAATCGATTTCATCATAAATATTTTCGGTAATATTTTTGTGTTTCGATGTCTCATTTAAGTTCAGAGTAATGTTTTCATTGTTTTCCAAAATCGAGGTGTTTTTTTCAATCTCCACAAACTCGTCCACGTAGATGGTCTTCTTGGGAGCCTCTACGATCTTCTCGATGACATCTGTGTGCACCTTTTCGTCCAAAACGCGCCAGTCGTTGATGCTCGCATCAAAAATCTGAAGGAAAATTCCTTAGTATCGTAATAAAGCACACAGGTTTCTGCTTTTAGGAGGGTCCAATAAAAGCCCATACGCAGGCACGCACAATCAACGACTTACCTTTGTTACCTCCGTTGTAGTCGTTATGTTTGCAACATCGGTATTATCTTTCTCGATTTCACGAGCAATGTCATTGGGCACGAAAGCTTTCGTATCAGTGAACGACTTTTCGTCCACAACAGTCCACTTGCCGAGCTTCGTGTCATACACCTTGGTGGTGTATGTGGTTCTTGTTGTATTAATGACATCATCGACTATTTCGGGATAGCCCGTGTCGGCGGTACTGTCCACCGTCCGTTCATCCACCACGCGCCACCGATTATTGCGTCTGTCGTATATCTTCTTCTTGTACGTCACTTTGGAGCTGCCGTCGGATTCCTTGCTGACATACCGCTCGAATGTGGGCCGTGTCTTGCTGGGTCCTTGGGAGCTGCCATCGCTGTACTCCGTCCACGTCTTGGTCTTCACGTCGTAGACCTCTTTTTTTGACGAAGTCTTTGATTGCTTACTGCTGCTAGAGCTTTTGAGAACGGAACTCTCGCTGACCTCTTTGCTAGATCTATGCTGGTCGACCACTGACGATGACGTAGCTCTATCAACAGCTGTGCCCGTGCTCGCCGTTTGCAGTTCATCGTTGCGTCGCACCGATGACGTCGCCTTTGTTGTGGTCGCGCCAGACGACGCGGCAACCGGTTCGGGGTAGCCTTGCAACGTCACCGATGCGGGACCATCAGCTGTTCCGCTCGTCGGCAGCTTTGGCACGCTCTGAGATTCGCTCAAAGTGCTGTTGCCGCTGATGTTTATTTTTGTGTTTGTTTTCGTGCTGGTGCTGATGTTGCTGCTGCTGCTGGTATTTGTCACTGTCTTGGTGTCTGTATCGAAGCCAACCTGTTTCCGCGGCCCGGATGATGTCATACCGGTAGCCGTATCGGCTCTCTCACTCGCAATCAGCGTTTCGTTGGCGCTCCGGCTGGAACTGGTTGTGGCTTGGAAGTACGAGCTGGAGCTACTGGCTTGCTGCTGCTGTTGGCTGGAAGACATCGATGAGGACGTGAACATTTTCGAGACACTGCCCCCGCTGGCGGAGACGGATAGCGTAGGTGTTGTGATTTCCACCACCTCAATGGGCACCGAGAATACTGGCTCTTTCTTTTCACTTTCAAGCAGATCGATCGAGGAGATGACCTTCTCGTTGGCATAATCCCGAGAGATCTTGCTGCTGTACTGCGACTCCGACTGGGACTGCGACTGCAGCTGGGACTGAGATTGCGAATGCTCTGTGTAGGAGGAGGAATGCTGGGACTGGGAGGCCATGCTCTTGCTCAGGCTCTGGCTCCGGCTGCTATAGCTCCTGACTCCGGCCGCTGGAAGGGAAGCAGCCGATGTGCTGGCCACAGGCTCACCATACGACACCGACTCGTGCTGCATGGAAGTGGAGCTGTTGCTGGTGGTCAGAGTGGCGAACGCATCGGGACCCAGTTTTTTGGTAAGCTTCGTGGCCTCGGCCGACGACGTTGTTGTTGTGGTCGAGGTGGCTGGCGGCGAGTGCGACTGCGACGTCGACGCCCGCTGCTGAGACACTTGTTTCTTTTTATTGCTTTTTGATACCATTTTGCTGGCGGAGCGCTGACACAGATGAGGTAATCACCAATTGGGAGCCGTGAATAATGCACCTGGCTGGACTATTGCTATTTGAGTGGCCTTATGGGGCTAATTTGCGGTCCGTATTCGTTTGTTTCGTTGTTATTAATCACAATTATTGCTCGCTTCGTTGCTTTTGGCACTCGGATGGCTTTTTAATAATATTGCGCGAATGAATGGGACGTGGTTGTTTTGGGATCTGGACTGGTGTGTCACATAATTTCCACGGCGGAATGTCGAAATACTTATTTTTAAATATATATTTATTAGACGCACACGAACAGGCGAGCCATAGTTCAAGTTAAGGCACCAACACACGCACACACCAGCGACTGTTAGACGTGTGAGCAAAAAGCTTAGCACTCTTGCTCCCACAGACACACACACACACACACACGTTCGTAGGTGGGGAGAGAGTCACGGATGCAGCGGGTTGGAGCCGATCGAGATACAGATACAGATACAGATGCAGAGCCAAAAAAAAATCACCAAAACCGAGAGACTGCGGGCACTGTTCGTGTTCGGAGCACTTTTAAGATCACCAACCGTCGCGAAGCACAACTCAAAACGTACTGATCGCGTCTGGAGCTGCTTTCGACCGACTATCTGTGCGCTGCCAGCCGAAAGCGGCAGCAGCAGCGCCGGCAGAAGCGTTTTGTGGGCTTTCAAACATTGGCGCGAGCGAGAGGCAACGACGCCTTCGCATAAGGCAAAAAGTTAGAGTCAAGCCAGCGTAGGTTTCGGATTCCGACGGATGCGTAGGCCGTTCCAGGTGCGGGTCGAAATGGGGAGCAAGAACTTAAGACAATAAACTTTCATCTCCATCTCCCTACGGCCTCAAAAATGGAAATAAACCAAGCGAAGGTCAAATGGCGGTGTCTGAATTTCAGATTTTAAAAGCAAACGATGAAAATAACTACGATACACAGCATAAACTCTAATTTCGGATTTTTCAGAAAGATTTTCCACCCAAAATACAACAAACATTTCCTGAATGTTAACATTATTTTTCAAATAATTTTGGGCCTGAATTGAAAGTTCATCCCACATATCTTAACTCCAGATACGCCACTGTGCCGGTCTGCCACGAAGACCGAGTTCAATAAGCCAATAAAAACCGCACGCACACCGCATCGATCTTTTGTGAAAGTGCCAATAAAAAACAAAACAAACAGATGTATGATGTTTGGGGCCCGATGCCGGCGGTCTTTCTGTTTGAGCTTGTCAGGTACACAAAACAGAGCAGCACGAACTTGCAGGGCGTGCGCCTGCGTAGCAAACAGTCTTCCAAAACAATATTGAGTCAAAACTAAAATTGGCAAACCAAATTAGGCCGGGCTAACGGCTGTGTCTGTCGGATGCACAATTAAATTTGAATAGCACATGAGACTGGAGACTGATTAGTCAGCTCAGGCTGGCCATGTTTGTAGATAGGTACATTGGAGATCGTCTAGCCGAACGGCAACGGCGGCGCTATGTGGGCGTCTCCGCCGGAGCTGAGTAAGCCAGACTAAGATCAAGATTTATTCGCCATAATGCTGCCCGATACACTCAATGGCCCAATTGATTTATAACGGCCTCTGGGTGGGTGCAAGTGAATAGTATCTAGAAGTGGATATGTCCAAATGGGGCGTGCCATAGATCAGCTGCATAATAAGAGGGAGCCCCAAGAGACCTCTAAACTAAGTGTGTATACCGGGCGAATTTAAAGTGCTATTCAGCTATTAAGAAAAGCAAAGCCCAATGCTTGCTTAATTCGAGTCTGACGTCATACGCGGCGTATGAGCAACGAGCACATAAAACTCATTTTCATGCGAAGCCAAAAGCAATCAAAACTTGTTTGCTGGCCGGGTACACAAAATAAAATCACACAAATAGAAGTAAGACACAAATGCAAAATTAAAGTGGAAAATAAAAGCGGCCACAGTGGAACCTGCTTAGCAATTCACGACACATATCGTCGACATGGGCATGGGCATGGGCATAAAAATTGCAACTGGATCTGGAGCATGCTGCAATTCAGATCAAATGGCAATTGGGAACTGTGCCACTGGGTGCAGTGCGTCGGTAAAACATTGGGGACTGACTAATTAGGGAGACACATTCAAGCAGATCGCTGTATCGGGTGTGGGGATGATGACATCTCATCTCACAGCGTTTCCTTGGAATTGAAATTAAATTCTGAGACCGAAACGGCTACAGAGGCGTGCTCGAAATTTATGCTCAAGTTTCGGCTGTCGCGTAGCCTCAAGTTCAATTAATTTTAATTTAACAATAAGCCGAAATGCACATCAAGGTAACGTGTCCATGTCAGCCCTTATTTGGCAGTTGGCCGAAATGTCGAGATCTCCGAAAATGTTTTTTTTTTACAGCCTACTGCCCCCACCATTGCACAATGCACTTTTAGGGCAGACTTGCAAACGACATTCTCTTACGGCCGATTTATCCAACTGACTCAATCGATTCCCATATGGGCATGAAGAGGCCCTGTCACGTACATAACTTGGCGAATATATTATTCACTTGTATCTCGACAAAAATTATAAACAATTAAAAGTTACGGCTGTGTATGAATTGTAATGACTACGGTTAGCTATACATGTTGGACAGTTTCGACGTGCTCGGTCCCATCCGTTGATTGTGGAAGAAACTCAAAAGCCTATAGCCCAACGTGTCTGCGCTTTGATTTCATTTGGAGACCCCTAAAAAGCTTCGCCTAACATATTCTCTTAGGCAAAACAATTAGACAAAAATTTGTGTTAAACTTCCACATATTTCAGTGATATCTTATCTGGCTTTACTTTTGCCTTGGCGAAATTTGCATACAAACCTTTTTTACACTACAGATACTGCCTTTCCCACACTTAAACCTTAAATACCAAAACAATTTACTGATGAAAATTTGCAATCGAGTTGAGTCACTGACAATATGGCAAATATTTGCGTTTGTTTGTTTAATCAGCAAATCTATAAATAAGTTATTCATTCATTCTTGACAAAAGAAAGTTCTTTGAGCGGTACACTGCAAGACGAAACCGTAGGGCCTACGGCATCGGTTATCCAAGTAAAATTAAACGCAATAGTTTCTGTTTTGATTGGACTCTATTGATATTACAACCAATTTATAGACAAGACGCTAAGGTCATAAGGTCGAAATTCCATGGTTTGCACGATATGTGGCGCTGTTCTTATCAGCTTGACGGGTTATTAATAAAGTTTAGATAAGACCCCCCCCCATAATATATATTGCAAGGTGAACGTTCTTCCGTCCAGCAACAATTCGGCAGTAATTGCAATTACACGTTGTTTTGTTTATTATAATTCATATTTTCCGTTTGTATTTCTTTAAGGCTTACATATTAAAATATATGCTTAGTGTATGTTCATTATTTATTGTTTCATTTATCAGATTACGATAATTACCAATTATGTTCCGTCTGCCTTTAATGCGTTCCTAAGACTTAACATAGAATTTTTACAGTGTGATATACGTCGCCAAGCGTGCATTGGATGATGTGGGTCGGTTATAAGAGTGTCTGTTCGTGTAGCTGCATCTTGTGTACTAATTTCATTGAATAATTTTTAAAGTTTTTAGTTTGCTAGGCTGCGTTTTGGGTTGTCAAACAATTGCAGTCACCTACGCTATCTGGATATCTGTGTTAGCTAGTTTTCGTGCCAGGCACCTACTCCACATTCCTTAGCCCCCGGACTCCTACTGGAATCCCTCCGCTCTGTCAGACCAGTTCTTCAGTTGTTTGGAGTTGGAGCGAGCTTCGATTCTCGTATGTACATTCGAAATGTGCTGCCGGCACCAACGCGATATTCTGGGCAGAAGAACCCAGAGCAACGTTCGCGACCACGCAAACGCCCATACCAAACCTCCATGTCTGGATTACGTATTCAAGTGCAACGCTTGCTAGTGTCTAGAACTATCCGTAGTCGTCTATGTTTCGTGTTAATATGTATACAGTTTACACTTAAGCATAAATATTTGTCGTCTAGTTGAATATAAGTTTGTGTATAAGTTGTGTTATTAAAACTCGTGTAATGCGTAAAACCAATTGAACGTAACTCTTTAAAACTTGCAACTCATACAGGTTGTTGTTTTAGATGCGACCAAGGCATCGCAAAAATTAACAGATACTCTATATACGTAAATCTATATATGTCTGTATATATATATATTATATAAGGTGTGTTCATGTCTGTAACGCTAGTTAACTATTATGTGTACAATGCGATTACTTAGCCGGTAACCTAAGACTAACTAAAATATTACACTTAAGGGAATCGCTCACGACGCATGCGCTCCACTCCGAGGACCTTTCTGGGAGGGATCTGCCTGTGTCTGTCCGAGTGTGCTGGTGTTATGCAATGCACTGATGCTATTGCTACTTGTGTGTTGCTGTTGCTGTTGCACTTGCACTTGCACTTGCCACGTATTTACAATCGCTCCCGGTTACTCTGCGCTCATGTCCTCCTGCTCCTGATGCTGATCCTCCGGCAACACACTGCGGCAGATCTCGTACTTGATCACCTTGCCGTGAATTTGGCCATCGGGTATTATCTGGACCTGCACCTGTTGCTGATCGTTGGCAGCCACCAGTTGCTGCTGGGCAGAAGCCTCCTGTAAAAGTGGGGAAGGGCAAAAGAGGTTAAGCTCAAGCTGGAAAGAGACTCTTGACCATGTCAGCCTATCGACTAAGCGACTAGATATGCATAAATAATATTAACTAAACTAAAGATTACGCTCAGGCAAAGAGGCGACAAACAACGTGTTGCAAGTTTCGGGGAAAAGGGGAAGTAAAGAGAGGGAGCACACAAAACATTAAAAGATGATTAAGGAGATAGAGTACAGACGCAGGCACGGTCGATTATAATTAGGGATACTTTCTAAGCATACGACAAACAACAATAAAAACAGCAAAACAACGAAAGATATACATAATATCATGATATAAAAGAACACTTATAGACAATTAGCGGTAATTTGGATATTTCATACACACCTAAACGCGCAAACTGAAGCCTTTGAATGGAATTCGATTTGATACGATACGATTGGATTGTATTCATTGCAAAGTTATGGGTTTCTTTTGATTTAAAGATTTGGTGAGAGAACACGCATAGACAGACACTCCTTCACATTGGCAGACACACCCGCACACACACACACACACACAACATCAAATCCGAGCGGTTCGAATCCAAAGACTCCAATACCATTCGAATCTGAATTTGAATTTAAATTCAAATGTGCGCTTGTGCGAACGGATGTCGCTCGAGTTTGTTATTGTTTGATTAGGTTTTAATGTTCATTTGTGGTTTTATTTAACTTTTTTTTTCAGTTTTTCTGTTTCGTTTAATTCTTAGTAAGAAGTAGTTGGTACAACAAGCTGCAAAGTATTGGAAAAGGTAATGCGATTATGTTTCAGATTCGGTTTCATTGGTTCAGTGGTATATATAGATGGGTTAGATGGGCGGGCATTGCAGAAGGAGGACACGCAAAACAAATGGAGCATTTAACTTAGAGTAAGCTAAAACTGATCGCTGTTTCCCGACTGACCGACAAAGCCTTTTAGGGGATGCCAATAAGAATCGTTTATTGTTGAATTGATAACATTGCTTAGGTGCTTAGTATTTTACATGTACGTTAGGGCTGCCTAACTAACTCCCAACTAGAATTAGACTTAACGCTAACTAAGTAGTGTAAATCAAAGCATTTAAAGGAGGAACGGAGCGGTTCGGATCGGATCGGATTGGATCCGGGGTGACGGGATATCAGGTTATCTGGGTTAACTGATTAACTGATTTTCTGATTATCGGGCTATCGGAGAGGCACTGGACTGGGACTGGAGTCTAGCATACCTGTTGCTGCGATATGGCTGGCTTCGTCTCCAAATGCTGGCGCTGGTGCAGCATCAGGTGGTTCTTCTGGAAGAAGGCCTTGCCGCACTCGCACACGTGGGTGCGCACTGTGCAGCCACCGTTCGGGTGCCGGCGATTGTGCTGCATGAGTCCGTGCTTGGCAGCGAATCCCTTGCCGCAGCTGGCGCAGAAGTGCGACTTCGGTTTGTTGGCCGGCGCCACGGAAACAACGTGCTGCTGCTGTTGCTGCTGCTGTTGTTGCTGCTGCTGCTGCTGCTGGGTCACGTGCTGCAGGTGCTGCTGCTGGCCGTGCACCGGCATCGTAGGCACCGCGGTGACCACCGCTTGGGGATGGGTCGAGTTGGCGGCCTGCACCAGCGTAGTCTGCGACATCACCTGACCGGTGGACGATATGATCTGCACTGGCACAGGGCTCTGGCCCACCAGATTCGGGTTGGCCGTGACCACGGTGCCCGGATTCAGGCTGGCCGTGCTCAAAAAGTGTCCCGGCAGCGCGGCTGTCAAGGCACACAGATCTGTCATCAGGCTCTTATCGCCAGTGTGAAGGCGCAAGTGAAGAGCCAAGGCTTCTCGGCTATTAAAGGCGCTGCCACACTCCCTGCAAGAATAACATAGGGTTTAGGTCGATTTCCTTAACTTTATGACCACAACTTACCGGCACACAAACTGCGGACGTGCCACGCCATTGGCATCCGTGGTGGAGACAGTCAGCAGCGTAGAGTTACCCGGATTGCTCACCACGGTTATGGTCTGCGGATGCGTCTGGTGGCCGGCCTGATGATGATGGGCCTGTTGCAGCTGCTTGAGTTTTTAATTTAGGTCAGTTAATTTATATTTATAGGTTTCAATAAAGGCTTAAGCTACATACCTGCTGATTGGCTATGATGGTGGCACTGCTCGTATTGGGATTGACGCCATTGTGCGCCGTCCTCACGTGCTGATGAAGCTCAGCCTTGGTGAGGAATCCCTCGCCGCAGCTGACGCAAGGATGGGCCTGCTCGCCAGTGTGTACCCGTCTGATGAGGAAATTTCGAGATTAGAGATTGATTCATGACATCTAGCCAATTCGAAAGGCTCACCTCATGTGTGAAACAAGCGTTCGCTTTTGCAGAAACTCTTTGCCGCACACAGTGCAGGAGTGCGGTATCTTGCCGTGAATACGTCCGTGGTTAACCAATTGGAACTTGCGTGGAAACGATGCCCCGCAGTCAGCGCATACAAATGGATTCAATGAACCATGGAAGCTGTGCGAAAAACGAGTTTCAGAGGTCAGTTCGGGAAAACATGGATTCTATGAATTTAACTCACCGCGAGTGCATAATCAGGTGGTTCTCCTGGGCAAAGCTCTCACCGCATTCCTCGCAGACATACGGCCGCTCACCGGCGTGGAACTTGCTGTGCGTGACCAGGTGTCGCTTGAGCGGAAAGGCGCGTCCGCACTCCTGGCAGACGAACGGTCGCTCGCGACTGTGGACCCGCGAATGGGTCAGAAGATGGTGCTTGAGGGTGAAGCTCTTCTTGCACTCCTGGCACTGATAAGGTCTCTCCGTGGAGTGGAGCAGCAGGTGAGTGTTGAGACAGTGCTTGTGCGCAAAGCTCTTGCCGCAGTGGGTGCAGATGTGGGGTCGTTCACCTGTGGGGACAACAGAATGATTAGACCCGCTCATTGGACGTGGGTAATCTGCCAGGAACAAGAACAACCACCTGTGTGCACGCGTGCGTGGGTTGTCAAATGATGCTTGAGCAGAAAGGACTTGCCGCACTCGTCGCAACTGTACGGGCGTTCCTTCTTGATGGTGGCGTCCGTCTAAGGGGAAAACCAAACGAATCCCATTAATATATCGTTTGAAATACAATATTTGCATTGGCTTACTTCGCTGAAATGCATTGATTCCTGTAGTTCGGTCTTTGGGGACAACTCCAATGTGCCTGGCTCCAACTTTAAGTTGGGTGCTTCGCCCTGCGAGTCCTCGTTATCCTCCAGTCCTTGTATTACTTTCTGTACTTGAACTGAAATACCAGGAAGTATGTCACCTAAGAGTGTTGTTGCACCGCCGACGGAACAAAAGCCAAATGGAATTCAAAGGAAGATACAAAAAAAAAAAAGAGAAGAAACAAAAGGAAAAAAAATAAAAGATCTGAACAAACAGAATATGCAAATCAAAATAATTGGGTTCATCGGTTAAACAAACTTAAAACAACGTTAGGCAAACCAAACCAAATGGCAAAAACTATAATCACAAAACGCAAAACGTAATGACGCCACGCAACCGGATAAAAGCAACCGGAACCGAGAATGTGCCAATATGCCGGATAGTATACGGTGGGATTACTTCAATTGTGTGTGTGAAGGAGTAGGTGGCAGGAGGCTCTGGAGCAGGGGTAACAAACACAGATTTGAGATGCTTACTTGGTGTCCCGCCGGACGCATGGTGATGGGATCCGTCGGCAGCGGTGATCGTGTGCGTCTGATGGTGGCCGGCAGCGATGGCGCGCTTGATCAGGATCTCGTTGCACTCCTCTTGCGTGAGATGCAGTGCTCCGATCGAGCTGAAGTGCGACTTGGCCGCCGCAGAGCCGGCGGTTAGCACCGTCTGTCCGGTCTTGGCATCAACGATGCTGCCGTTGGTCAAGGTGTGGTGGTGGGCGAGCCCCGGATCCCCACCAGCCGCGGCTGCAGCTGCTACGGCCGTAGCCGGATCTACCAGCAGATCTGTTGTTTCGTTTCGTTTCGTTTGGTTTCGTTTCGATTGAAGAAGGTTCGATCAGACCGCGCCCGCCGCCCGCCAAGTGATGAGGTGTGTGGTGTTTTATGGTGACATGGTGATGTTGTGTTTGTGCGGTGCAGTTAGCGAGATGATCGATGGGGCGGTGGTGGATCAGGTGCAAGAGCAATACGGGCAAACACACAAGCACAGTAGGAGTTTTGGAGGAGATGGTGGGTTTTAGGGTTCGGTTTCGGGTTCGGGTTCGGTTTATCGGGTTGAATTCAAGGGCGAGCGAGATCGAGCGAGAATTAAAAAAAAAAAATTAAAAAAATAAACGGGAGTAGAGAGAGAAAAACAATCGATTAACAGAAAACCCAAAATATATAGATAATAACAACACAGTAACAGCAATGCGTGCAACACTGATTCGATTCGAAGGGTTTTGGCTCGCTTTGAATCGATTCACTTACAGTTCTTGTCAAGGCTCAGCACCTGCTGGTTGGGGTCCTGCTTCTTGACCACCGTCGATGCTCCTCCGGCGGTGATAACTCTGCAATGGGATAGATAACAGATATATAGAGCCTGTGTGGGATTTTGACTGATGGAGCCCCAACGCACCTCTGTGTTCCAGGCGGAAATGAAGGATCGTTTACCACGAACATGCGACGTACAACATTATTTTTGCCGCCAGCTGTAAGGCCTTTAACATCCTTTTGAACGGCTAATGATCCATCCGTCGATAACAAATAGGGCATCTGAAACAAAAGGTTTTAATAAGGCTAGTAATTTAATATTTATTAGTTATAAAAGAAAACATAACTATTATGAAACCATTATTGATATTTTTTTTGTTCAAATGTATTTATCAAAGTGTAATTAAATTAAATTAAATTTTCTAAGTTGATTTTATATTTCTCAATGAAATTCCCACCTTGTTAGGCTTTTTTTTGGCGTACTTAAACTAAGGAGATAGTACAGTTGCTACTCGCTAAACTTAGAGCTGCAAGCTACGCTCAAAGTTAGCAGTGAATGGAGTTGTTGTTTTTGCCGCTGCTCGCTCTGATTGATAAGCAATGAACAGTAATAAACACGCTACACCTGCGCAGCCAGTAGTGCGGCAACAGATGATAAGGACTGAGAGGGGGTGGGGGTGATGACGAGAGGGGGATGTTTGCGAAAAGCGCGCCTTTTTTACTCTTTGGTGTGCGTGTGCAATTGGACATCGTGGCATGTGAGTGTGTGTGTTGGGCGCCAAAACAGTACGGCAAAAGTAATCAAAACACACGCACGTAAAACGCAACGCACACCAAAGAGCACACGTCATTTTTGGGCGTGTATGCGTACATACACACACACATGCAATCGCGGCGAATTCGCCACTGACGCACACATAAGGAAAGAACGGGCGCGCAAGTGCGGCGAATTAGACGCGATTGACGATTGCAATTGTGTAAGAGCCCGCAAAAAAATAAAACAAACATTATTTCTCCTGTGAATTGCACAACAAAAATTGTTGCTCTCCAAAATAAACTCTCGGCAAAAACAAAAGCCAAAACAAGGGGGAAAGCAATAAGTATTAATAGAACTGAAATTGGGTTAGCGATACATAGTCTAGAAAAATATCGATTAGCATCGATTGCCTTTGCCAGCTGCCACACTGCTGAAAACTTCACGACCTTCCTAATTAATTGGGCGAAATTGGATGGGGGGTCATATTATTTATTTACTTATTGGCCAGGTGCGCACACACAGGGCCGAGTGTGTGCACGCATTTGCTTTACAAATACCAAATTATGAATGTTTACGAATGAAATGGAAACGAAAAAAACAGTATGGATGTATGGTAAAAGAATTCTAACACACTCGCTCCAATCCCATATATTCGCCTGACAACGCAGTTACATAAAGTGTGGCGCATGCATATACATCGTACATGTAGTATGTATGTACGTCTGTATCTCGCAGTAGTCGCTCGTTTTCCACGTATACCGTACGTGAATGCCTGTCGGCCCGTATACATACACAGTTCGTTGCCGAAAGCAGCGAGTGTTGGTGAGGGAATGGAACGAGTGCGAGTGTAACGCAGTGCGTGTGAGCGTTTGTGTGTATGCATTGGTGGTCACAACACGATTCCGTGTGGGAAAGCAACAGCAATGCACACACACATATGTAAATGCACCTGGAAGGGGGCGGCAAAGGGAATATCCTGGCAGCTTTCAAAGGTTCATTATAGTTAAGAACTTAGTGATAAACTCACCGACTCTCCGCCGACCGTGGTGTAATTGATGTTGGGTGATATCTCCAGTACCGATTCGGCGCGGCTGCCGTTGTCCGCAAAACCCCAGGTATAGCCGAAGGGCGTCGGATTCTGGGCGGCGCACATTATTTAGCACAATGCGGGGGGCGGGGCAGAGGCAGAGAGAGAGAGAGGGGAGCGGGAATTTCGGGGGGACGGAAGAGAAAAAAGCGCAAAATTTCCAAACGCAAATGTAATTGCACTTCTCGCTTGCTTGTGGTATATGTAGGTATGTATGTATGTATTCTAAAGCACGTACAAAATACTAGCCTCCTCTAGTAGTAGTAAGTGGAAATTGGTAATGGTATTTTTGCGGCTGTGTTCGAAGCCAAAATATACACAACAAATTCAAGTCGTTTGGGTTTTTAAGCACTTTTTCAATCTTTTTTGGGGGCTATCGCACTGCGACGAAAACCACGACGAAAATCACCGCATTCGTTCGCCGCAACGAGACGGGGGCGAACTACTATATAGACCGAAAAGAAAGTCAAGTTGCTCTGGCTGCGGGCGCCATTTTTTTCCGTCCCTCGGTCGCTAAAAAATGTAGTTGGCGTTGTTGGGGCACTACTTCATTGATAACACACTCGGTTTGGCGACGTGGGCGTGGGTGTGCGTGTGCGTCGATGTACGTGCACGCGCCCCGTGTGACTATGTGCAGTTTTTGCAATTAAATTTATAAACAAAACACTCTTTTTCCTTCAATATAATTCACAGACACAGATACCACTGAACAAATTCCTTAGTGTTCGTGCTTCTCGTTCTCTGACGCCATCTTGTGTGTGCGCGGGCCAGGGTTGTCAAGTGGCGGGAACTACCAAAGATCAAAGATGTGGCAACGCCATTTCCAGCGTGACCCTTTCATTGGGTATTTTTAAAAGTTCCCCCAACGGTCACGCTTTGCATAACAATTCACATTTTTTTATTTCATAAATTTTATATCAAGGTATTAAATAAAAAGATGTCTCTTTCGCCAGCGAGTGGCATTGGCCGCTTCTATGCGAAGTCGGCCAAAATCATACGTTTCGTGCGGCTGGGCTGCACCAACCGCCCTTTTTACCACATTGTAGTCATGGAGGTGTGTTTTCAACCGATTAAAGTGGTAACTAACTCCTTATAAACTTGAATATTTGTGCTTTTAGAGGCGTAAGAATCAGCACCAGCCTGTAATCGAGCAGGTTGGTTCCTTCGATCCCCTGCCCAACGACTTCAACGAGCGATTGGTGGCCCTAAACACCGAGAGGATTCGCTATTGGCTGGGCAAAGGCGCCCACTTGTCCACGCCGGCTGCAGAGCTCCTGGGAATCGCCGGACTACTGCCCATCCACCCACGCACCTACATGACCGCCTGGCGGAACCGGAGAGCAGCCGCCGAAGCGGAGGCCACATCAGAAAAGGCGGAGTCAGCATCAACCGCTTAATGATCGCAGTTAATCAATAAAAACCCTCGTTTTCGTTTTACGTTTAACAAGCGGAGATTTCTTCTTGCTCAGCGACCACTGGTGCTCTTCATATCAACAACAAAATGAATACACATTTAAAATTTATTGCAAAACGTAACCGATACGAGGTGAGGTGGTGAATTAGGCCCTAAACCAAATGCATGGGCAAGCGAGCTGCAGGCGGAGTTTCCATCCTAATCGTGCTTTAGCACTCCAGCGGCCTTCTTCATGCCATCGTCGATGATCCTGTCGACGGCTATTGCGGGAAAAAAGGAACGACAATTAGCTAAACTTAAGTTTCAAGAGAACATTTCACTCACATTCGTGGTGCTTCAGGAAGTAAGGTCGCACCAGCTTGTGGTAGATAATGGTGGATCCGTTCTGTTCCGTTGGCAGCATGCACCAGATGAGGAAAGCACACTGAAATGGGTGGATAACGTATAAAATCATAAGAAAGCCAATCAAAATCACTTAACACCTACCTTCAATAGCCAGTAGAAGGGGATTATCGAGGTCAGCAGGCCCGAGAAGAATTCAATCACGGTGAAGATGCCAAAGGTGACCCAGTAGATCAGCCATTTAGTGTCGTCCTGCTTTGTGCTGGACTCGATGGCATGGATGGAGATGTATGCTGGATACAAGACCCCAATGATGTTGCACAGCAGCTGGGCGCCATAGCCGAAGATCAGGTAGAGGGCGCAGAAGCCAGCAGCACCTGGGAGTAGTAAATAATACCTTATTAATTAAGCGTTATTTGAGACTTTTGGAACTCTACCAAAGCGCAGGAAAGCGTTCTCTACAAACAGCTCGACTATTTTGCTCTCCAATCCCTCGACCGTCATGTTTGCCGTCTATTTGGTCTATTGCCGTTGCCCTAATGGCGTAGTTTCCCTTTGGCTATAACCAGGTCCGAGGCAGGAGCGGTTCTACAAGGCGCGGGGTGGACAAAGGAACTCCAAACTTACATACTTTAGCAAGAAGACAAACTATTAATAGGGCATTTAGCCAGATACCTGAAGCCCTCTTAAGGGCGCCCCTGCGGGGATCCCTTGGATTCCTAAACCGTCCCATGCCGTTGGCTAATTATAAACCCTTAGCTGTTGTCAGTGGATGTCTCGACCTGCTTCTGATCCCGGCCAGTTGCATTTTGCCCGCCCAGATAAACGGACTACGGCCTGTTGTTTTGCCATAAATGTATGATGTCATTCATGCTAGACGGCTGCTAATTATATTTATACCCTTGAAGGGGTTAATATAATTCTGACTTCAACTGGGCTAAGAGAATAAGACTGATCCCATACATTTACATTTTTGATCAGCATCGAAGGTCACAGGCAAGTCGATCTGTTCGCAGTGAAATTGTATAGCTAACTGGATACTTTCACAAAAGCTTTGTTTTATTGCAGCTAGTATGTTATTCGGAGCAGTAATCGGCTATATCATACACGTAGAAGCCATAGAAACAATCAGTCATACATATATATTTTAGATTGGTCATGGCTTAGAAAGATTGTAAAATGTGCATGTTCACATTATATTTTTTTACCAATTGTCATCTACAATGCTTTTAAAAATAAACTCATGCAAATCGCGATTTTATTCATTGTGTTCTAATCATAACCGATAAAAAAATGTATTAACGATTGTTGTTTTTTTTTTAGTCGGATTATTAAGTGTAATTATCAATATTTGTCGACACTGCAAGGGTATGTAAACTTCGACTTGCGAAGGAGACCACCATTTTGCACCGCGTTTTCAGACGCACACTCACCTATGCCCAGGTAAACCAGGGGAACTCTGACTTTGCGCTGCGTCTCCCGTCGCTGTCTGATTTGCATAATATACTCCCAGAGCCACATCGGAGAACCCGGACTCCGGAGAACTTCCACCGAACTTTAAGCTCTATCTATCGATCTACACACACCGGTGTGTGGACTTTCTCCACGTGTGCCGAGCGCCACGTCTCAATCGCAGACCTTTTGACCCCGCCGAGCTGGACTTTCGCGGTTCAGATTGGTCCGTAGATATATCACAATGGAATGCCCCAAATGGATTGCTCACCGCGTACTGAGAAAATGTGTACTTTCGTTAAAGTAAACAAAGAAAAGCACAAAACATGAAACTTTTGTGGATAACAGACGCACACAGCAGCAGCTGCCTACGTAGCTGATTACACGCACACATCACATGGCAACTGCTCTAGTAATAGATGTATTGGTGCGCGCTTGGTGATAAAACAAAAACTTTTCAATTGCGCTTAAACATTTAAGTCGAGTGATTAATTCCCTAATTGGTCACCAGGTTGTGATTAAGTCCCCATATATGCTCCCGCATAACTAATGGCTATATATAACAGGTTGCTATTTATAAGTGTACCGAAATATTCCACTGCATCTTGATGAATCTCACTGGTTACGCAGTCAATTGCCAAAGGGGTCAGATGGGACCTATAGGAAACGAAGCTCCCTGAAGGACATGCGATGACGTCGTCAGGACAACGACAACACTCACCCATGAAAATATTGACCCTGTCCACGCCGGTCTTCTCCTCCACGGTGTCGAAGGCTTTTGTCCAGGGTTTGGAGGCATCGCGTAGTGCTCGGCCTACGTTCTGCTTGTAGCCGTTAAAGAACTGCTGCACTAGAGTTACCTGTGCGGCCATTTTTGCACAAAAATATTAGTTTATAATAAAAAATATTTGAGACGCCGCCGACTTTCACAGCAGTTGTTCGGATACCAGTGTGCCCGTTGCAAGTGCAACCAAGTATACCAAACGGGGAACCCCGTTAACTGGTCACACTTAGATGGCAGCCCTGTCACTGTTTCGTTATTTTAAGTCCTTTATATTTCAATTTCTTTTTTAATTCTAGAAAGAATGGTTCGTTAAAAAAGAGAAAATATCTGAACAAATTATTTTTTAAACATTAAAGTTTGAAAATAAAAAATAGTACTTATAGCATTTACCGAAGTATCGTTAATTTGGGTATATATAGCCTTTTATTATAATTTAATTGAAAAAATACATGTACAACGAAATAATTTAATTCTTGTTCTGCTGATAAAGCAATTCATCAAAAAAGACAAATATTAAGGTTGTATGCGAAGCACTTCGCAGGTAGAAGGCCAAAAAACCCTCCGTTTGAAGGAGCTTGGTGAAGCAGTCCACCAACCCCAGGTAAATGAGACCGTGACCCCAACGGCTGGGTGTACATTCGGGTGGTGACCACATCCAAGGGAGACTCGCAGTTAAATAAAATAAATTATAAATTATTCTTTTATAAACATTTTATTTTAAAGTCGAAAAAGTGGATAGAAACTTTAATTTATGGTCGAACTTCTTGTGTTGGATTGAACTACGAGATTCTATTGAAGTTGATGAATAAACAGCATATTTTGTTTAAATAAAATCGAAAATTGTTATTTAAATAAGTCCACTATCTAAATAAATTTATTTTGAATTTGGAAAAATAGAAATATAAAAAACACAAAGATTAATAATATTTTAAATTAAAAAGAAAATATTAAGCTGATTAAAATAAATAATGCTTTATTATCTGCGATCCTCGGGGGCAAGCTCCTTCTGCAGTTTAATGCTAATTCTCAGGATTAGTAAAGAAACAAGCTCCCATGGCATCTACATATTCAGACTTTAATAACAGACATGTTAAAAGTAACAATTTAACTGGTTTATTTCACAAAAATATTGCACAGTTTCTTAAGGAACATTTAAGAGATTAGCTTACTGAAGGCACAGTTTGGTTCTGGGGCTATGCTAAGCTAAGATATTAAAGCTAGGATTTTTAAATAATCGCTACAAACTAAGGCCAAGTTTAGACAAACAAAATAAAAGCATTCAGAAAATATAAAATGGCATATATCTTCTTTGCTATTGAACTCAAAAAGTAAACCCCCTATACAGTCCGGATCGATAACTAGTGAAGACCGTATCTTTCGCGCAGGGCGATCAACTCATCAAAGAATAAAAGCACCAAGGTGGAGTAAGGAGCACTCCTGAGGTAAATGGGCCAGAAGCCCTTGTACAACCCATGCAACCCCTCCGATCGCAGGATCTTGAGGACACAGTCCAGCCAGCTCTTGTAGTAAAGACCACGACCTTGGGCATCCACTCCCTGATTATATAGCCTAGTTGTGATCACATCCAGTGGCGTGATTGCCACTGACACAAACGATCCAGCTGCTAGACCCGAACAGAAGGACAGAACAGTTGGATGTGTTATCACGCCGTTTTCCTTCAAAAGAGACTTGGCCTGGCCAAAGGTGGCAATTTGAACGGCGGAGGCCACCGTGGCACGGCTAACATTGGCCATGGATCCCCGCCAGAGTCCAAAGACGCCGTTCTTCCGGTATATCTGCCTTATCGCATCACTCATCGAGGCGTGCTGATGTTGATAGCCAACGGCGATCTGCTTCGCGGCCTGCGCCTGAAGTTGCGTCTTGATCTGGAACGGAAAAGAGTCTATCAGCTAATGGCGGTCTTATCTTATCTGGGCTAGACATTGTCAAATGTCTGCCAAGGCAGACACTTTGAATGTTTGATTTACATAATCGCTTACCAGGAAGAAGGGGCTGGCGCAGTAGGAACCCACAACGCCACCCAAGGCGCCCCAAAACATGCCCCTTGCAAAGGAGATCTCGCCCTTGTTGTTGTGCACCCAACCCTTCTCCACGGCATGGGTGTAAATACTCAAGCTGTGAATAATCAAGAATTAAAATGAATTTATGAACACCTTAGTTAGATCAGAGCTAACACTTACCGAAAGGAGTTAATGACAAACTGGAAGCATAAAGCTGGAGCCAATCCCTTCTGCAGGCCCAAGATGCCATCATTTTTGGCCACCGTGACAAAGGCTTGAAAGACGCTCTTATAGGGCTGGGCATGGGATCCTCGGGCGGCCAGCTCTCCCTGCAGTTGTATGCGTGTTTTGATCACCTCCACGGGATTGGTAAAGACACCAGCTCCCATGGCAGCCACGCCGCCCAGCACAAAATCCGACGTGGCCATCAATGCGACAACCGTTCTGTATCACAATCTAGTGATCACTAACGCTCAACTTGCGATAAGCAGCAGACTAATATTTGCGAACAAGGTATGTTAAAAAGTAACAATTTAACGGTTTATTTCACCAAAGTATTGCACACTTACTGAGTAAAGGAACAGCTCTAAGATTAGCTTACTGCAGGCACAAATTGGTTCTGGGGCTATGCTATGCTATGCTAAGAGATTGGTACTAGGATTTTTAGCTACACGCTACAAACTAAAGCCAAGTTCAGACAAACAAAATACATTTTTATTACAAAGATGTGATTATGTCGTCTTTGCTATTTTTCACATATAATTTGTATATCTGAACTAAGCCTTATAAAAAGCAAACAAAATATATATAAAAATGTGGGTATTACAAACGAGTCGAACAATTTTGTACTTAAAATAAGACTACCTAACCACAGGTTTTTGGGGTCATTGACGGCTATACTTTGTGCGTAGGGCGATCAGCTCGTCGAAGAAGAGCAGCACCAGAGTCGAGTGAGGGGCAATGCGCAGGTAGTTGGCCCAGAAGCCCTTGTACATACCGTAGACGCCCTCGGAGCGCAGGATCTTGACGAAACAGTCGAGCCAACCGCGATAGAGCAGGCCCCGTCCCTCGGCATCCACGCCCTGGTTGTACAGTCGGGTGGTGATCACATCTGGCGGCGTTATGGCCACCGACATAATGGAGCCCGCTATTAGGCCCGCCGTGAAGGAGTTCAACGTGGATTGAGTCACCAGATCGTACTCCACCAGCAGGGCTTTGGTCTTGCCAAAGGTGGCAATCTGGGCACCCGATCCCAGGGCAGCTCTTGGCAGCGCAGCCACCGATCCTCGCCAGAGTCCTCGGATGCCATTCTTGGTGTAGATCTGTCGCAGGGCGTCACTCATGGACGTGTGGGCGTGCTGGTAGCCCACAGCAATTTGCTTTGCGGCCTGCGACTGCAACTGCGTTTTGATCTGGAATCGCCGGAAGAGTATAGTTAATACGTTATTAACATAAATATTAAATAGAATTCTCGTTTACAGTAGGCTTGGACAAACAAATTAGGTAGTAAATAGAAGTTGATTAAAATTATAAATTAAACGTTGCTTGAAAACCTGAATATACAAAATTGCAAATATAATACGTCGGAAAAACTCCGGTTTTTTTTCTATTTCTTTTAGATATGATATCTTTCTTACTGCATATCTTGAATCGTGATAGACAGTTGTCAATTGAGACTCTTATCTATGGAAAGTCCAAAATGCTGATGAGCATGCGGGCCATTCAGATAAGTCTTTGTTTATGTAACCTCCTGCGACATCCACATGTTTTGCGTACCAGGAAAAATGGACTGGAGCAGTAGGAGCCAACGACGCCACCGATGGCGCCCCACATCAGTCCCCTGCCGTAGGATACCTCGCCCTTGTGATCGTGCATCCAACCCCGCTCCATGGCCTCCGAATAAATGCTGAGTCTGGGGAAAGGAACATCAGGAGTATTAATAGTAATAGAATTTCAATACAGAGGAATGGAGGACCTACCGGAAGGAATTGATGATGAACTGGAAGTACAGAGCGGGCGACAGACCCTTTTGGAGGCCCAGCATACCATCGTTTTTGGCCACCGTGACGAAGGCATGTACAATTCCCTTGTAGGGCTCCACATATGTGCCCCGGGCAGCCAACTCGCCCTGCAACTGGATCCGGGTCTTGATCACTTCGATGGGATTGGTGAAGAAGGTGGCGCCCACGGAGGCCAGGCCGCCCAGCACGAAATCCGAGGTGGCCATGTAATCACGAGTTCAACTTTGGGATAGTGTTTGACTAGAGACTGTTGTGCCGCCTTCCGCGGAATCTGTGGCCCTAAGAAACCGCACGCTGCGTATCTGCCGTGTATTTCATAATTCCCCGCCGCAATTAGCTGGCACGACTGTGCTCCCCTCGTCCGTTATACAAATATAATATAATTTTGGCGAGTATTATAACTTTTAACAGTGTGCCCGGCGCTCTTAGGTCGCACACCAAGGCTGCCAGACTTATAAGAAAATGTGATTTGAATTTTTTGCCAGAACAGAAATGTTTGTAAAAAGATAAGAAATATGAAATAAAATATTTGAATGTGGCCTTAATAAAAGTAAAGTACATTTTTTAACAAGTATCTCGGTTTCGTGAAACAGTCACAGTGATTTATTCAGTGCTGGAAATGTAGTATTGTGATTACACAGTCCGGCAACTCTGTCTCTTTTCAGTGCTTCTTTATAAGGGTATGACACTACATTGAAGTTCAGAGACAGAGACAACTATATGGATAATGCTTGAGATTTTTTTGGTAATAAGTTTAACGTCAAATTCAAACTTCATTGTTTTATTTATTATTTTGTGTTTATCCCGCTAATTTTAACGTTTAAAGGTTTTCTGTTGTTACCTTTAAATGGTAAAAAATATTTCGTATACATTCAAGCTTCGCTTTATTATTTTGTTTTGCCGTCATGGGCTTATGACTCTACATTGTTGGCCACATTCATTGCTCATTTTTTGTTTTAACTATACGATTTTACGTTAGTGTGAGCAAAAAAAACCTATGACGATTACAATGAGCAATGAACGAGGAAAATTTTCAGAACCGATACCCAACAATATAGCTATGATATAATTCCGTCAAAACACTACGTCTAATGTCAAACTTATTACACACGCAAAACATAAATAAATATTTGTATTAACTTAATTAAAGGTGAAACAATTTAAATTATTTCCCTATAATTACTATTATTTTCTTTTAGTAGCTATATATTTTCGCCACATTTTAGAGCATCGCTAGCTAGCGGAAAAAGGGCCAAGCCCACAGCACTGGTCGCTCTCTTTCCTTTCGAGCTGTCAAAGTGCCGAAGACGTGTGTGCGTGTTATTTTCAGCTGCATTTGTTTAAATAAGTGGAATAACATTTATCAAAACCATGACTTCGCATCCGGTTTTCATAGACCTCTCCCTGGACGAGCAGGTAAAGTTCATGGGAACGATTCAATCCATGTTTTTGGGCGGCCCGTGGCCAGAATTGAGGTTATGTCTTCCTCTTGCTGCAAAACAAAACTAATATTTTCCATTATTTCTAAATAGGTTCAGGAACTGCGCAAGTATTTCAAGAAGCTGGGCGCCGAAATCTCATCGGAGAAGTCCAACAAAGGAGTGGAGGATGATTTGCACAAGATCATTGGCGTCTGCGACGTTTGCTTCAAAGACGGGGAGCCCTCGCAGATTGACGGCATCCTGAACAGCATTGTGTCCATCATGATCACGGTGAGTAATCGAGTGTGCAACATATACGCCATATAAACCCCTTCGATATTATAGATACCTCTGGATCGCGGCGAGAACATTGTGCTGGCCTACTGCGAGAAGATGACCAAGGCTCCGAACCATCCATTGGGCAAGGTGTGCCTGCAGTCGCTGTGGCGTCTGTTCAACAATTTGGATACCGCCTCACCTTTGCGCTACCACGTTTACTACCATCTGGTCCAGGTGGCCAAGCAGTGTGAGCAGGTGCTGGAGGTCTTCACCGGCGTGGATCAGCTCAAGTCCCAGTTTGCCAACTGCCCGCCGTCGTCGGAACAGATGCAAAAGTTGTACCGCCTGCTGCACGACGTGACAAAGGACACTAACTTGGAGCTGTCTTCAAAGGTGATGATCGAGCTGCTGGGCACCTACACGGCGGACAATGCCTGTGTAGCCCGCGAGGACGCGATGAAGTGCATTGTGACCGCTCTGGCCGACCCGAATACATTCCTGCTGGATCCTCTGCTGGCCCTGAAGCCCGTGCGCTTCTTGGAGGGCGACCTCATCCACGACCTGCTGTCCATTTTCGTATCGGAGAAGTTGCCAGCGTATGTACAGTTCTACGAGGACCACAGAGAGTTCGTCAACTCTCAGGGATTGAACCATGAGCAGAATATGAAGAAGATGCGACTGCTGACCTTTATGCAGCTGGCGGAGAGCAGCCCCGAAATGACCTTTGAGACGCTGACCAAGGAGCTGCAGATCAACGAGGACGAGGTGGAGCCCTTCGTCATCGAGGTCCTGAAAACGAAACTGGTGCGCGCCCGCTTGGATCAGGCCAACCACAAGGTCCACATCTCGTCCACGATGCACCGCACCTTCGGTGCGCCTCAGTGGGAGCAGTTGCGGGATCTGCTGCAAGCCTGGAAGGAGAACCTCAGCACGGTGCGCGAGGGCCTAACGAACGTCTCCTCGGCGCAACTGGACTTGGCCCGCTCCCAGAAGCTGATACACTAGGCACACCACTCCCCAAAACGGCAATGATGATGAACAAATGCTAGCCTCGGGGCAATGGAAATACGACCTAAATTATTTTCAAGAGTGCGTGGATTGGATAACTTGAATAAATTTATAAGTAAAATTGGTTGTAGAACCATGTTTCGATAATGCGAGATATACTTTTATAGATATACTCTATAGAGTTTTTTCAAAGGCATTTCACGGTTTTCATACATTTCTAACGATTTAAAGCTAAAAAGAAAATAAATGTTATCTCTTCTGATAAATATATTTCTAAGCTCGTCGCTGAATTAAATGTGTTTAGTTCTGTTAAGCTAATAGCATTTTATTTTAAACATTTAAATTCGATCAAAAGATTACAAAATATTTTTTATTGTTTAATATATTACATTGTAAATTGGAACTTTTAGCTTGCACAGGAACTAAAATCTAAAAGCGATGTACAAAATTTAAGTAATTAATAACTATTATACTGACAAGTTTTTATGAAATGAAAAATACCTTTAATTCGTTTTAAACTTTATGCCTTGAAAATGAAAACCGACAAATGTCCTGCCAGAGTATTTAAGTAGAGTTTCCTGTTGATCAGTTACAGCTCCTCGTGCACATTGGAATGCTTTCGCTCCTTCTCCTTAGGAAATCCCCAAAAATAGGAGGGAAAACCGTGAGAGTCTCGCTCTCTTTTTACAAAAGCGGAGTAAGAAGAGATGCAGTTTCCAATAAAGTGGTTCGACTGACCAAGAATGGCCAAATCCAAGTAAGGATCGTCCTCTGGCAGCTTGTGTACACTAATGCCCATGCGACTGAGCGCCGTGCTAAGTTCGCCAATCATGTGATTAGAGTCGGAAGCCACAAAAACAGACTTTATCTCATTGTCCGGCTGGGTCTGGCGCACGTTCTTGATGGTCCTCTTAAGCTGGCGGATGATGGCCTCCTTGGAGGGCATACAAAGCTCCGGATAGAGGGCTCCTCGTTCGTTTTTATAGCCCAAACATTGCGGGGAGGCGAACAGGTGCTGGCTATCCTTGACGTGCTCGCAGGCCCTCACCCAATCGATGCCGTTGCGTAGGTGTATGCCAACGAAGGCGCCACGTGGCAGTTGCTCCCTGATGAAATCCCTAGACGCGTCCCTGTATCTCTGGCTCCACTGCATATAACGCTGCAGCTTGCAGTTCTCCAGCTGGACAGGAAAACTAGCAGGAGCTCCGGTGAAGGCGAGAACAGGCCAGGACTCCGCCGGATACTTGTTTTGCCACTTAGCAGCTTCGTTGCTGTGGTGGACATCAAAATGCAGTGGCGCATAAAACTCTGACCTCACAAAGTCAATGTGGAAGGTGTCCCAAAACGGACCGAACGGATTCCCATCCTTGGCGTGGCAATTGGGCTTTTCTGGGTCGTTCTTTTCCTGCTGCAGACTGAAGCGCTCCTTGTAGCAAAATGACACCCGTTCTGACTCCGGCCACAGGTCGTCGGCTAGGTGCCACATGAAATCCGCCATGGTGATGACGCGATGGTACTCCTTTAATGGTTCCACCTCAAAGTACGTGTTGAATGGCACCTGGCGGGATCGCAACTCGCCCCTGCGATACTCAACCCACGGCGGCAGGATCAGGGTGCGATTTAGGGCCTTGGCAAAGGCCAATGAGCCCAGAAAGTGGTCAGCCTGGTTGCCGAAGCGTCCTTTAAATAGCGGGCTTTAATGGGTTTTCCAGGTGGAATAAAATCGAAACTTACCCATGCAGGGACAGTAGGTGAGATAGCCATTGGGATCCCCTCCTAATTGGGCCCATGTTGAGCTAATTAAAATACAAATTAAATTTACAAAGCGAAGCTTCATATTAAGCCACTGCATTCTGCCGGCTTCGTTTGCCTTTGACCAGGTGGCAGCTCTGTGCAGTAGGGCGGCTATATTTGTAAGAAAGCAATTAAAATACCTGTTGAGAAAGTTCAAAAAAAATCAATGCTATTTTTTTATAAAAACTGTACTTTTATTTAAAAGATCATATTTTACGCATCTGACCAAAATCAAATTTTTCACTAAAAATGGTACATCTAGTTAATGCAGCGTATTGTTTTGAGCCAAAAAGCTTCGGTCTGGCAACATTCGTTTTTTCAATCAGATGTTATTGTTATTCTTTATTTATTTATTTTAAGCTTCTGACAAAATTTTATAGATTGGAGAATGTTCGGCCTGTGAGTACAATCTGCCAGGATTATTTATAGTCGTAACCTCTAATTATTTACACAGCAGGACTGTATTCCGGACTTTCAACGGACAATTTGCATCAGTTTCTGTTCGTAAATGTCGGCGTAACTTCTCGGAAGAGGCTTCCCATACGAATAGGCCCTTTAAATGGCGGAAGCCCACTGGCGTGCACACGGGCATCAACATTTACAACCATGGAATGCGCCAGAAGGTGCCACTGATCCTACGGAATCCCCAAATGGTCACTTGGTACACCTGCGGACCCACTGTCTACGACTCTGCCCATTTGGGTCATGCCAGCACATACGTCAAGGTGGACATCCTGCAGCGCATTCTCCGCGACTACTTTAAACTCAACCTAGTGACGGCAATGAACATCACGGATGTGGACGACAAGATCATCAAGAGGGCCCAGTTATCCGGCCTTGACTGGCAGAAGATGGCGCGGGCCTATGAGGCAGAGTTCCGCCAGGACATGCTGCGCCTAAACGTCCAGCCTCCGGATGTGCGCAGTCATGTGACCACCACCATGCCAATCATTGTCCAGTTCATCCAGCAGCTGATTGCCGAGAAGCAGGCTTATGTGACGCCAGACAAATCTGTGTACTTCGATGTGTCTAAGAGTCAGAACTATGGAAAACTGCAGAACCTTGGTCTCAGCGAGGAGAAGTCGGACTCTGTGAAAAGGAACACGGCGGACTTTGCGCTGTGGAAGGCGCGCAGGAGTGGCAGCGAGCCCACCTGGTCGGCTCCTTGGGGCGGCGAAGGACGTCCCGGCTGGCACATCGAGTGCAGTGCGATCGCGGGCCTGTTCTTTGGCCGCCAGTTGGACTTCCATGCCGGCGGCTTGGATTTGCGTTTCCCGCACCACGAAAACGAGGAGGCCCAGTGCTGTGCCCGCTACAAAACAGACCAGTGGGTAAACTACTGGTTGCACACCGGACAGCTTCACATGGTTGGTGACCCGCAGAAGATGTCAAAGTCCTTGGGAAACACCATCTCCGTGACGGATCTTCTCAAGAAGTACTCCGCCGACGAATTTCGGATGGCCTGCCTTCTGTCCAACTACCGCAATGCCATGCCTTATAGCGATCAGTTAATGCTGACCGCTCGGCAGACCCTGCAGCGCTTCAAGAACTTCCATGCGGATCTGAGTGCCTACACACAGTTCCTCAAGCCGGTCCACTTGATGGACGAAGGCGCACTAAAGTCTCAACTGGCCCACACCATAACCGAGTTCGATAATTGCCTGCGAGATGACTTTGATACCGCACGTGCTATTGGCGTACTGATGGATCAGATGAGCAGCATAAGTCGGTGCATCAACGAGCAGCAGGTGGACGCCCAGGAGGAGCCGGCCTATTGCATGGATCTCCTTCTGGCAGCTGGAAATTTTATTAACCGGGCCATTGTCACGTTTGGGATGTCGGAGTTGCTCGAAAGAGAATCGATGCAGGAGAACGTATCCTCCTCGGAGCACGGCATCGATCCATCTTTGTTAGTGGACGATGTGATAGACGTTCGAAGGAGGATGCGGGAGAACGCCACCTCTGGGGATGTTAAAAACACCCAGCTTTTGGCCGCCTGTGATGAGCTAAGAACTTTGCTTCAACAGCACGGCATACAGGTGCGCGACCACAAGCAGGGAAGCTCCTGGGTATTCGCCGTGTCCTGTCAAAAGCCCGATGACAAGAGCAAGAGCTCTGCCGAATAAAAGCCATTCTGTTATTCTTTGGATCGTTATTACATAAATGCATCTCGCATGCGTAGTCGAAAGGGTTGATCGGGTGCCACCGCGTGCTCCGCCTTGTACAGGTCCTTGGTGATGAGATAGTCTCGCACTAGCTTGAAGAAGGCTCCCATGCTGGTAAAGGCCACAAAGCTAATGGAGAGCACGAAGTGCCACTCGACGCTCTCCGCACTAAGCGATCCAATCTCCACCAGCAACACGGCCGCCTGAAGGATGGCCAACGTGGAGTAGATGATAGTGGGGTTGTGGAAGAGTTTCTATAAAGTTCAAAAATAGCTTTAAATTAGGGAAGAATATACGAAAATAATTAAAACAATTTGATGAAATTAAATAAAGATAGAAGGATAGGAAAGGCATACGCTGTGAAACATACATAGAATCGCACATGACTGGCGTTTCCCGGTGTGGCCACTGTGACCACGCCCTGGCTCCTGTATAGACCCCCGTTGTGCTTCACCACGGTGCCGTGACCGTAGGAGGAGTATTTCGACCAGGCGAGGGCACTTGCGGCTACTATCAACTGCGAGGGCGCCGGCTCTCGGTCGATGCGCTGCCAGCAGCCTAAGTGCAAGGTGGCCCGATGCAAGGTATCACTGTACTTGGCGGGGTACAAGAACACGGCGCACAGACTGAAGGCCCCCAGACACACGATGATGCAGTGCTGGGCAGCTCGGAGTACGTTGTACTGGACACTGATGGCCAGACAGCAGGGCACCAGGCCGCTGTAATAGGCATTAAGCATAGAGGTAAAGATGAGCTGCTTAAAGCGCTTGTTGAAGTCATGACGCAGTGTCTCCACTTCGTCCCGAATGTGCACCGCATTGGTGGTGCAGCTGTGGACTGGGAGATCGTTTATATACACGCCGGGCAGCTCGAATCTGGTGCGAAGGAATGGTTCCAGCTGGAAGCCAAAGATCAACAGGTAGATGACCACTCTAAAAAAAAGACTGTTTAAGTGACTACTAAATAGTAATTTGTTTTTATGCTTACGGATACGACAGAAAGAGGAGCAGCATGTAGGTGTGCTGCTGGTACAGCTTCATGGCGCAGAAACCCAACGCTAGCTGCACCAGGCCTCCGAATCCGTATTTGATGCTAAGCCGAATGAAATGACGGCTCTTCTCGTTGCCCTTCTTAATCTTCACCAGCAGCAAGCAGTAAATCAGTCTTCGCGAGTTGAGTATGAGCAGGAGATAGCGTAGATAAGGATCTATCAGTTCTATGTTCTGTGGGCAGGGAAACGCATAAATGTTCTGTAGATTTGGGTAAGGATCCCGGGCAAACCCACCACCATGTGTCTGGTGTGCGCCTGGGGCAGCCACCAGTTCGTCCTGTAAATGTTGATGAACTGCACGATGGCGGAGCCCATGGTGAAGGCACACATGATGAGTTCGCTGAGCCATTCGGACGTGGTGGCGTGCTCTGGAAAGGGAATGTGCTTCGGCATGGTGGTGGCCGGCATCTGGGATTGACCCGGCTTGGTAGTCAGCAAATGGGCGTAGGTGTCCGGCGTTTCACTGGAGCTGCTGCCATCACTACTGCGCTCGTCGTAGGTCATTTTTAGTTTTTTAATTTATTTTTCCTGTAGCTACATTTAAACAAATTCAAGCGTAAAAGTATTTGTGCGGGCGGAGGACAACAAATGGAATATAAACAGTGTTGGATATCGTAAAAAGTTGCTTAGGTTGCATGAGGGTAGTAAAACACAATCCCAGAGGGTTTTGCAATTAGCAGTAAACTAAAATGTATTTTGGAATTCATGTTCCTTCAAGATTGGTATTAACGGGCTAGATAATTAAAATTGAATATACATTTAATTATTTGTAGTTTTTATTTATAAATCTGTAATGAATAAGTTTTCAAGTAAAAACCTAGCTACGCCCATGCCAACAGCTGTTTATGACGCCTTACGTTTACCAACACCGCCGGCCGGTAGTTATCAGATGCCTTTGGTTTTGTAACTGTAAAATATATTAAAATACCCGAATCAAGCGAAAATGATGCGTTACGAGGGCAACGAGAGGCTGGCGGATGAGACAGCATGTGCGGGAGTGCGTGCGGACCTGAAGATGTGCCTGCTGGAGAGCGAGTGCTGCCGAATGGGCAAAACCCCGCGCCAGTGCCTCCAGGACAACAACGTGCCACCAGAGTGCCAGGTGCTCCGCAACACCTTCTACGAGTGCAAGCGCTCCCTGGTGGGTCCCGTCCCTATAATCCATTCATCAACGTTCCATCTAACATAAGGCATTTCTTTCAGTTGGACAACCGACAGCGCTTTCGCGGTCGCAAAGGCTACTGAAGTTTTAACTTAAATTATATTTCTAAGCGCTTAAAATACAAACAATTACACACATAAACGGGTTTAGTCCATTAGTTGCGACGGCGGCGGACGCGAGATATACGCCAGGCATTGGGCTCCTCGTACTTGTTGTACAGCGGCTCCAGGCGCTGGTTCTTCTTGAATTTGCTCAGCTTCGTGGGGTCCGAGAAGCGGAAGAAGGACGGAGCAAACTCCACTAGCCACTTGGGATCGATGGTGGTCACCTCCCGCATATACTCCTTCGTGGTCTGCACCAGCTCGTGGTAGATGACCCACTCCGGTTGGCGATTGAAGAGAGCACTCGACGGATGGATATACACCACTTGCGAGTCGACCAGGGTGCGGTAACCCTCCTGCGGATCCTTCTTGGCTGCGTTGCGGAAGAAACCCGAGCAGATGGCCTTCTGAATCCGCACAGAGTTCTTTCCGGCGGACACCACATCCAATTTGTGCCTGTCCATGATCCCCAGCAGTTGTTTTCTTACATCCTGGCTGCGCTTCAGGGTTCGTATCTGGACGAAGTTCTCGTAACACCAGGCATTAGAGAATTTGTTGTTCTTCCAACTGTTGTAGACAGCAAGCAGGGTCAAATGGTCACCTGTAAAGAAAGAAAGGATTAGTAATCGTAATCTGGAAACTTGAACTACATAAGAGGAAGCTTTTGGGCCTGCACTTACCTTCCGCCTGATTGAATTTCGCCTTCTTCTGGTCCGCCAGCGCTTGTTTGTCCTTTGGCCTGTAAAACACATTCTGCACACTAAGCATCGAAACAATAGTCAGAATCTCATCGGAACACTGCAGGGCAACAGACATGATAAGCATCTTGGAGAGATTCGGCTCAAGGGGAAACTCCGCCATGCGCCTGCCCAGCCGAGTAAGCAGGCCTTCGTCATCCAGCGCTGACAGAGAATGCAGTTGCTCCAGAGCCATTACCAGGGATTCCACTGGCGGTGCGTCCATGAAATCAAAGTGCAGCAGATCGTTTATCCCCATAGTTTTTAGCTGCAGTACAGTGGTGGCTAGATTGGTGCGCTGTATTTCCGGCACTGGAGTGGGCAGCATTTCATCTCGATACGCACGCTCCGTATAAAGGCGATAGGTTTTGCCAGGACCCGTCCGCCCGGCTCTTCCCGCTCTCTGTTTGGCGGCAGCTTGTGAAATCGGAGTGACCACAAGCGAGTCCATGCCCGTCTTTGAGTTATACACCTTCTGCTTTACGAAACCTGGATCGACCACATAGAATATGCCGTCAATGGTGAGGGAAGTTTCAGCAATGTTGGTGGCTATTACAACCTTTCGGCTTCCAGCGGGCGCAGGATCAAAGATACGCGTCTGCATTTCGGATGGCAAAGCGGAGTACACCGGCAGTATTATCAGTTCAGGGACATCTGGTCCCAAGCTCTTCATTCGTTCGTAGAGGATCTCGCATGCTGTGTCGATCTCTTCCTGACCAGTGAGGAAGAGCAGAATGTCACCAGGTGGCTCTCGCAGATGGATCTGCATCACTGTGATCAGCGAGGCGTCCAGGTAGTCCGTTTCCGGTTCCTTCGTATACAGAACCTCCACGGGAAAGGTTCTTCCGGGAATTGTGAAGATAGGCGCCTTGAAGAAGTACTGCGAGAATTTTACCGCATCCAAAGTGGCCGATGTGACAATCAGCTTCAGCTCCGGCCGCTTTTGCACGGCTGTCTTGAGCAGACCAAAGAGCACATCCGTGTGGATCGTCCGTTCATGAGCTTCGTCCAACATAATCACCGAATAGCTTTTCAGCTCGGCCTCCATTAGACACTCGCGGAGCAACATACCGTCCGTCATGTACTTAACTATGGTCTCCGGGCTGGTGCAATCCTCGAAACGAATGGTGTAGCCGACCTCCTGGCCCAACCTGCAACCGTACTCCTCCGCCACGCGCTTGGCCACCGACATGGCAGCCACTCTTCTGGGTTGGGTGCAGCCGATCTTTCCTCTGGCAGTGAATCCACATTCGCCCAAGTACTGGGTGATCTGTGTGGTTTTTCCGGAACCAGTTTCTCCAATGACAATCAGTATTTGGTTGTCGGTAACCGCCTTGATTAGATCATCACGCAGTTTGTAAATAGGCAACGACTGGCGCTGCTCGACGAGCGTAAGATCGGTTTTCTTGCCGAAGGAGGACTTCTTACCGCCGATAACATGCTTCTTCCACTCTGGAACTTCAGCCGGTGCGGCACCCATTCCACGCATATTGGCCGCCAGGCTCCGCGAGCTTTCCTCCTCCGGCAGTGGATCGATCCAGTTCTTGTTAAGGCTCGTTGGCAGAGCTTCCATCTCCTGCTCGCGTTGAAGCATCTTCTGCTCGCGACGCTCCTTGGACAAGGCCGACTGCATCATGGCGGCTTGGGCGAGGGAACCATCCGGATTCTTAACAATCCTCACGGGAGAGAGGTCATGTAAAGCTCTGCCGTGACCGGAGAGGAAGGGAGGCTCCTCTTCCACAATCTCTATTTCGATGTCGGCTTCGTCGTCTTCATCTTTCGGCAGCAGACCCGTTTCCTCATCGAAATCCGGCATCTCACTCCTGTCTAGCACACCAGAGCTGATCATCTGCTTGATTTCCCAACGTTCGGGACTGGAAATTCTTGTCACTCGCTTTCTGGACTCGTGTTCATCCCCATCCAAGCCATTGCCTTGCAGGTTCAACATGGATGTGCTGCTGCTGAAGGGTCCATCTGGATTTCGATCCCTCAAAGACTCGTCGTCCTCGGGCGCGTGTGACAGCGGATTGAGATCCCTTCCGCTTTCCTGATCCGCCTCCTTCATGGACAGCGAAACCTTTTGGCCCGTGATGGACATCACCTTCACTTTAACCGTCTGATTCCGACTGACCACCTCGGTGACGTCTGTCACGCGACCTTCGGCCCTCAGCTGTGAAATGTGGACTAATCCCTCCCAGCGCTTGCGTAGTCCAAAGAGCTGCACGAAGCAGCCGAAGGGCACAATGTTGGCCACCTTGCCGGAATAGATCTTGCCCGCCTCGGGATCATCGGTCATTGCAGCGGAGGGTGGAGGCATCTTTTCGCTGCGATCGCGTTCCTTGGAGCGATCTCTTCTGTCCCTACGTTCTGTGGAGCGAGAGCGACTGCGTCGACGCCGTTCGTGGCGATCCCTTGAGCTTGATCTCCTGCGGCGACGCTCCCTGTCACGATCGCGATCCTCGCGAGATCTGCTCCTGCGGCGGTTTTCCCGGGATCTGCTGCGTCGTCGGCGTTCCTTGTCCCGTGATCTGCTCCTGCGGCGATCTGAGTGTCTGTCCTCCCGCGATTTACTGCGTCTTTTGGTGTCGCGGTCACGATCCCTGCTCCTGCGCTTGTGACGATCTCTGGAACTGGTTTCCCTGGACTCTTTGACGTGTGTCTTGCCCTCACCCGGCGCCAGAGCTTCCAGCTCCAACATGGCTGCGTCAACGTCGCTCATGTCGGATTTTTTGTGTTTCTCGGGCCGCAATTTCTCCGGTTTCTCCTCCTCCTCGCCCTCGCTACCCTCCTTTTTGCTGAACCTGTCATTGGGCAAAGCCAGGCCGGGAAACAATTTCATCAGTTGCGATTTCTTTTCCTCCTTCTTATCCCCAACGGGCTTCTCGTCGCTGGCGCCGCCAGGACGACTGGGACGCATCAAATTGATGATGCGCTGCAGGTTCTGGACCAGAGAGTCTGGAAATTCGGCGCCATTCTCCAGTAGTGCCTTGCGAAAGGAGTCGTACGTGCGATTCTTGTTCTCCAAATCGATGATGAACTCGGCCAGGTCCTTGTCGTTGATGCCCAAGTGGTTGTCCAGTTCCGTGCAGATCTTTGAGACCAGCGACAGGTACTCCAACTGCTGCAGCTCGTCCATGCCGCCAGAGAGTCCAAGTTTACTTTAATTTTCAATAATTTGTGGTAATTTCAGAAAGTTTCCCTCTTCAACAAAATTGATCAGCTGTTTTTTCACGCCGCGGTGTTGGTCAATGGCCGATCGAGGTGGCAACGCTAGCCCCTATCACTCGGTTTTTGACGCTCCGCTTATTTTTGTTGAGTTTTTGTTGCCAAAAAATAAATAAGTCTCTGTTTTGGTTGAACGCATATTGGAATATGTCTTCATTCTTTGAGTGCTTCAACAATTTCGTGCAGAGCGGCGGAAATGTAGCGCAAAATGTGTCGCAGGAGGAGGAACAGAAAATCGCGGCCCAGCCGCTGGACGGTGAGAAGGAGCTGGTGCCTCCCACCAGTCCCACGCCCAGCGAGAGTGTAAGTAGTGTTCTAGCTAGCGGGTCAAGTCCTCCACAAGTCCTTGATTTTACATATTCGATTGTCTGGTCATTTGTTGTGAAATAGAGTAAATATTGCCGCAGGGCCTGAGATTCGGGGCAGTCGCAGAGTTGCCGGATCGCACATTTCAACCAGAAATGTGGCAACCTTGCATTAGGCACGCCATATTTTGCAAGAAAGAAAATTCGCGTAGTGCTCTAAAGAATACCAGAAAATCAATAAGAATTGCTGGTAAAATTGTCTAAAATCAGTGCGAGGCGCGTGTGACTTTTGTTCGGGCCAAAGGTTAGGGGGTTGTGGCCATTTCAGCTGTTCTCGAGCGCCGCAAGTGCGACAACAACGTAGAAGAAGAAGAAAATCAACTAAGGCAGTCAGTAAAAATTGAAATTCAACATTAAATATGAAGGAAATGGCGAGCACCAGCGGGAATCACACCCAATCTGCGGAGGACACCACCTCCTCAATAATCACCTACAGTCCGAGCAAATTCTTGACTCGCGTTGGGACTGGCAAAAACACATACTCTACACATACACACACAACAACAACGACGGCGGCGACCGCAACAAAAACAAACAATACGCCAATGGGCGGAGCAAGTGCCTCGTACTATGTGGTGAAGGCCGGCTCCCTGGGCAGCGCAGCTTCCATGACGGGATCCATCAAAGTCAGCTCGCCACCGAAGGCTCCGCCGGCGATTAAGTCGCCCGCCCTGATAATCACATCGCCCGCCACACCAACCGAGAGTGTAATGATAATCCTGTCACCACTAACCAGCACTGCATGCTCACCCAAGTCCCCACGCCAGCTCACTCATCTCACTAATGTTCCTCCTAACCTTCAGCAAACACTAATACACTGTTTTTTCCCAACAGTCCAGCACCATTTCGGCGCCCAGCGAGTCCTCCTTTGGCGAGAAAATGGAACACAGCTATATGCGAGATCCGCCGGTCCGCAGCGAGGTTAACAATGGCCTCATGCCGACCAGGAATATCCTGGTCCGACACCCACCGCAGTGTCCAAGTTGTCACACATATCCACAGCACGAGGAGTTGGCGGAATTGCAGCAGGCACATGTGCCGCCATACGACGAGATTGCCGCCAAAGAGGCTATGAACGAGTGCGCCCGCATTGCGAAATACGTTAAGAACAACAATTCGGATGAACAAGATTGGGTGGCTCGCGTGAATCAGTGAGTACTTGGCTTGGTATATTTGAATGCTCTGTAATTCCAATAATTCCTGCACAGATTTGGTTGGACGCCCATGCAGCAAATGCTGTTCGAGAAGGTATGCTCCATTCTGGACCAGGATCAGTTAGCTCGCCTGGCCAACGATAAACGCCAGCACGAGGCCATACACCGACGCGTGAGTGCAGACAAGTCCGCCTCCAGAATGCGCAAAGCTCTGGCCAGCGTGGCCTGGGAGTCGCGCATTACACAGTGGATCCATGCCCTACTTATGGAGCACCTGTCGCCCTCGTACATGGCCTCATACCTGGAAATTCTACAGACGCTGAAAACTAAGTTGCCTACTTTGATTGACAAGATGTTGTTCAGCAGACCGCTTAACAATAGCCAAGAACTGCTGGCACCAGTGATGAAAAAGCGCTGGGAGCCGAACATCTTGCCCAAAGGGCGTCAGCTTGCACACAATGCCATCATGGTGGTGCTGCCCACAATGCCTACCAGCGGCCCAGTCTCGGACCGCATGCAGAAGTGGTACCAAGCACTGGCCACCATCACCCAGGTGGTGCAGATTACGCTGCCAAATACGAGTAGGTTTATAACTATAGAAATCATGATAAGCTAAATTAACAACATGTTATTCTTCTTCAGACAACAGAATTGGTAATCAGAACCTGGATCAGGTGGCTGAGACCATTGTGTCCCTCACACGCGTCAGAATTCACGAATTGCGCACGGATAATCCAAATCGTGGCATAATTCTCGTCGGCTTCAATGCTGGAGCGGCCTTGGCTCTGCAGGTTGCACTTTCGGAAAGTGTGGCTTGCGTGGTATGCATGGGATTCGCTTACAACACAATGCGTGGACCGCGTGGAACGCCCGACGATCGCATGCTGGATATTAAGGCGCCTATACTCTTTGTTATAGGGCAGAATTCAGCCCGCACCAGCCAGGAGGAAATGGAGGGTTTGCGCGAGCGAATGCAGTCGGAATCCTCACTGGTGGTGGTTGGCAGTGCAGATGATGCTCTCCGTGTTCCAAAAAGTAAGCGGCGCATAGAGGGCGTCACACAGACCATGGTGGATTCTATGGTGGTGGTAAGTTCACAGGAGAAAGGATTAAAAACATATCAACCTAAAATCAACTCGTATTACAGGAGGAGGTCTTTGACTTTGTAAATCGAACCCTGAGCAATCCGCCTGGACCCCGCATGCCCACGTCGCTGATGCACCATCAAGGGTACCAGCGCCAGCAGAAGCAGTCAACTCACATCCTCGCCGATGGAAATGCAAACAAGGCTGTTCAGCAGATGCGTAAGAGGAAGGCTGACGGTGGTCAGGACGATCCAATGGGTCAGCCGGTCAAGTCAAAGTTTGTGCCTCACAGTGAGTACCAACATTCACATTTCGATCGTTTTATCGAGCAAAACCTCATTATCCTACTATCCATCCCGCATGCTAATCCTCTAATCACGTACACATAACCATTCCCAATCAAAATAACAATCCAAAGACCGCGTTCACAAGCCGAAGCCACCGCGCCTCATTGATCCGTTTGCTGCCAAGCGAAAGGGTAAATCATCACGGGTCTTTCCCACGTGCCACTTGTGGCTGCCACCCCGATTCATCAACTAACATTTCTACCCCCTTCAGTTGGAAGACCCCGCACTCGCCCTCTTCCCAATGTCGGTGGCTCGGCTGGCTCTGGTGGCCAAAAAGGTGCACCTCATCCAGACAAACCGAAACTGAGCAGCGAAGAACTAAACCAATCCATTGAATTCATACTAGATGATGCCCTGGACTACGAGGACGTACAATCCACTGCAGGAGGATCCGTTGCCCTCCCCAAGGTGATTAATCCAAATGTTCTGGGGAAGCAGCTGCCGCCCGTCAATCTAGCAGCCGGCACCAAAATCAAGATGATACCATCCAACCAGTTTGTCCAGATCAAAACGCTTCCATCGCAGAACAAACTCATCAACTACACAATGAACAAGGCTGGCGGTGGACCAGGAAGCACCGCTACCATTGGCAGCATTGTAAAGACGCTACCCAGCTCAACGGTTGTTGGCCAGCAGATATTTACGCTGAAAACGCCCTCTGGTCAAACGCAGCAGTTTGCAACAGCGGCCCCATCTACGAGTGCAGCTGGCACATCGTCATCCTCAACGACGGGACAACAGAAATATACGGTGTTCAAAAACGCCAATGGAATGACAATGCTCAGCCTTACCAAAAATGTGCCCACAACAACAAGCAGCAGCTCTTCGGGGAATTTGGATTTGTCCAACATTATCGACATGCCGATTGTTTTTGCCGACAACGAAGGCAACATTCCCGAGCATCAACAGGCGGATAAGGATGTTAAGCCAGGTTTGACCTAGGATCGATTCTCTGTTTGTTTTTATTAATTAACCTTTTTTTTATTTTACAGCCCCCATTCGTCCCGCCAATAAGACCCCGCTAATAATTAGCCAGAAGATCATTAAGGAGGCCAATAAACCCCCAGGCATTGTCACCAGCAGTGGAAGCATTAGTGGCGCCAACAAGCCAGGCAATATTGTGCTTAACAAAGGCCTCCATCAGTTGTTCACACCGTCGACTGGAGGAACAGTTGCCGGACAAAATAAAGTGGTATATCTCAACAGAAATACAATGAAACCAATGGGAAATATGGTGTCAGGTGCGCACCGCGTGCCCATAAGAATTGTGAGTAACCCAAAAACTGGAGCAGTGACGACCACCACCACCAACAGTCCTCTGATGGTGGATCCTGCCACAGGATCTCTGGTTACCGGTGTTAAGACCGTCAATGTGCAGACCATCAAGCCGACGGCAACTGGCCTTGCGCAAGGAACTCTCCGTCAAGCCGGCAACGTGGCCAACAAGACCTATCCCCAGTTTCAGGTGATCAATAGCAACGCAAGGGGGACTCCAAAAACAGTTTCCAGCGATGGCAAGATCCCTATACGTAATATCTATTACCAATCCGCTACCGGACTTAAGCAGGTTCCAGTGCAGATGGTCGCGAATCGTGTACCTGGCGGAGCTGTTGTCTCAACAACACCCTCCTCATCTTCTGGAGCTTCTGCCGTGCGCCGAGTGGTTAACATTGGTCCTGTCTCCAAGTTGACGGCCTCGACCACATCAACAACAACTTCGACCGCGGCCTCTTTAACTCAAAGCAAACAATAGGCTTAAAACATATATTGTTATCTTGGTTATTTTAATATAATGACATTTAAGGATCATATCTCTGTAAATATGTTAAGAAAGCCATAAATAAGTTGGTAATTAAGGGGTCTTGAATACTCTCCTTAACCATTATTTCAAGAAAAATTATTTCATTTAAATAAAAGAAAAAGATTTAAGTAAATTAATAACAAAAGCTTAAATGCAAGTTCTGGGAACTCAGCGAACGCTTCGTTTGCAAACCTGTGCAAATTCCACGTCTGGGTTTAAGGTTACCTTATCATGGTCTGATATGATTTAAGCTCGTCTATATCATTAAAACAAATGTATCTATATACTGGAGAGTAAGGGAAAACAGGAAACAGTGGCGGCGTGGGAATATTATTGCTCAACGATAAACTATAAAAGTTCTAAAAATGCTTTTTTCCAAGTGCGTTGGTTTGAAATGAGAGTCCCGAGAGGCTATTTCTCTGGCATTATATAATCGTATGTGTTCACACGGTTGCCTTGCCATCAGTGTTTGTCAAAATGTGGTAGAATTTTTGCTTAGGATTGCATTTAGCAGCTCGCTGAAGGCAAGCTTCAACAAAGAGGTACAATTTCATTGAAGCTCCAAGGGGCATGTGCATGGAAATTATACAGACATAAATATATACATATATCTTAATTTTTCTTGGTATATGCCTCACAATTTTATGTAGTTCAAGTTAACCCATTTAAGAAGAATCACAAAATTAATTAATTATTAATGCCGTTTCAATAAGGAATACATATGTAAACAGTTTAAAGGGAAGATATTTTTCTCCTGGAATAATTAAATAGGGTTAATTAATTTGTACTATTAATAGTCCTACTTCGGTTTTTGTATATAGTTTTTTTTTCTTATTTTAGTGTTCATAAGAATTATAATTTAATAATTATTCAATAATTTTAATGTACATTTGCTGTATACAACTTTTATTTATGTAAGTTTTTTTAAGATTTAAAAAATGGCAAATATTTAGAAAACCAAAATTAAATAAGAACTAAAATTGTCAGATATTTTTTCGCGTGTCTTTATTGGGTTAAATACCCATTTTGACCAGTCAGCAATTTGTAGAGCGAATCGCGCTCAAAAGCTAAATAACATTGTCGGGACTCGGCCAGCATAATGATATTTCTTTACTTATGAATTCTTATTTGCATTAGTATTAGTCATATATTTAATTACATTTTATGTACAGTTTGACAGAGTGAAGATATATATAAAGATAAATATGTATATCTCTCAACTTTTGTGGCGTCAAGGGTATTACCGACATGCTGCGCTTTTCGGGACTTCAGTAGCGCGCCAAACATGATCGTGAACAGATCGGCAAGAGTTATACGTGATCATCAAGGATAAGCCAGCGGAAACTGCAGGATCAAATTCGGATTTTAAGTGAAAGTTATAATATGTGAAATATTTTCTTTGAAAGTCAACCACAATTGAAGTTTTGTTGATCTCAATTTTTTAATTTATCCAACATTGTATCCTGACGTTCACAACACAAATTTTTCATTTTTCAAAACCTCTCTCAGCCGTTCAGTATAACTTAAAAATTAAAAACAAATGGAAATATTGACTAATTTTTGCAAACTCCTGTTTTTTTTTTTTAAAAAGGATAAGTTTAATATTTTGAAAGTCCCGTTAAAAATATATTCGTTTAAAATACATCTAGATTTATTGTAAAAATTTATATTAAACCATACAAGGATATTCAATCTGTATAATACACCTTTAAAATTCATGCAATTTTAGATACAAAGTGATACAAGTTACATACAGTGATACAAGATACATACAACAGTTAAAAAAGACTGAAATCATTTTTAAGTTTTTAGTGACGTAAAAAGCTTTTTTTTGAAACATTTTACTTAATTGCTACAGTAACTAAAATTTAAATTAAAATTGTGTTTTTTTTTAAAGGCTTAATTCCCTTAATTTTTAATTGTTTTTTTTTTGTTATTTTAATTAAAATTATACTGTGTGAAAAAAGTGTTTCAATATTAAAGGTGTATAAAGGTATATAACTTTTAAATGTTTAAAAAGGCTTTAAAAATAGTGCTTCAGTGCATTAATTCCTTTCATCCCGTTTTATAAATTTCAAAACCTAGTAAAAGACTCCACAAGTCCTCACTCAAATCCCTTGCAAATATACTAACAAGCGCATGTATTCGAGCAGATTTTTAATCCTGGGAAAAGGAATCATCCAATGGCGCGGAGTAAAAATAGCGAATGTCAATAACATTGCAATCTCACTGACTCTTCAATAACTTTTTTATCTTTGATTCTTATATTCAATGTGTGTCTGACAATTTTAATATTTTTCCAGGGCAAGCATTCGCCAGGAGAAGCAGAATCGTAAAGTGGAAAAACAGGAGCGGGAGCACTCAGTCAACCATTTGCTTACTCAAAAAATTGATTGCAAGAGAAAGCATAAAATGTCCAAGAAAGCTGTTTTTAAAGTTTTTTTTATTTTGTGTTTAGCTGTTTTATTTGTTAGTGTGTTAAAATTTTTTCGATGATTTTTTTGTTTATATATAGTTATTTAAAATAAGTTGTTTTTAACTCTACTCTTTGATAAATTAATTGTTTTAAGATTTACAAATAAGTATTATATATATTTTTATTTATTTATTTTTAAAAATTTGTTTATACATCTGTTTTTTCATTAAATTCGCATTTGTTGGCATACTTAAATTTTATTACAAGGATCCGGGAATCGGCCACTACCTTGCATTCACGTGATGAAAAAACGCTGACACTATCCCGGATTTAATGGGTTATTTATCTCACATTCTGAGTTCAGTGTCATTTTGTATTTTTAATTATAATAGTTCATGTGATGTGACGTAGTGGAACATACCTGGATTTGCAAACAACATAAGGTGTTAATAGTAACTGAGTTACAAATCTAATTTATTTTTTATTTGCTGAAAAACTTCACAATTTTTTTTATTTGAATTATAATATTTTTGTAGGTTTTAAGGCTTTTGTCTCAATACAATACAATAAATACAAATAAATATTTATGACTTTTATTTTCTTGTGATTTTTGTTTTCCCTTTAATTACATCTATGTTTTTAGGTTCTGTGAATCTGTGATCAAACTGGCTTTGCATTAATGTCTTTTCTCGCCAATTTCCTTACCTTTCACCATATTCCACCTTTTGACTTTCTTGCAGTAGCTGCGTTGATTAAAAGTTTAACCTTCTGCACCACCTCATCATCCGCTACCACCGCCTTAGCCCAGCAACTAGCCAAGCAAGTTCTATTTGTAGCAACAAATTACAAACAACACGGTCCGAGGATTTGTTGGCCAGTATCGCAGAATAGAATATAATGAATAAACATTGGCACTGGTCGCGTAATTCGTTTACTTATGTTTATGTTATGTTTACTTAATAATCGACTAAATAATTTAATAAATGTTCGTTCGTCGCCTAAAAAATGATTTTCAAATTGACTTCTTGAAGAATTTTTAATTGGAAAATAATAACAACGTTGAAAATAAGGAAATAAAACTAGTTAGATTCATATATATAATATATATATATATATTCTTAAAAAGGAAAATAATAATTTTTATTGAAATTACATTTTCCTGATTTTTAAGTTGGATTCTTTAATGTTCCATATTCAATAAAAAGCTATACAGTTTGTTTCGGCTTTTGAGGGTTTTTTAAAGATGGAACTTATGGTGGCAGATCTGGATCAACGTTTCTCAAATTTGGATAAAACGGATGGATTGAGCTCTGTGGGACTGGGCTTTAAAAGCAATTTTAAATTTCGGTCTCAAAATCAATTGTCATCGATTATTTGAGAATATCGATACATCGATACACTACCGATGTAAGCACCGGTGTTTTCCACCTCTAAAACAGTTGTTTACCGATTCTAAGCGATCCCTGGCGGCATCGTAAGTTCTAGGAGCAGGAGCAGGGGAAGTCGAGCACTTCTAAATCCTTCGCCATGGACGACCAGGCGTGCCCGCGGTGCAAGACCACCAAATACCGCAATCCGTCGCTCAAGTTGATGGTCAACGTGTGCGGCCACACACTGTGCGAATCCTGCGTGGACTTGCTGTTCCTGAAAGGATCTGGCGCCTGTCCCGAGTGCATGGTGCCGCTGCGGCGCAACAACTTCCGCGTCCAGCTATTCGAGGATCCCATGGTGGAGAAGGAGGTGGACATCCGCAGGCGCATCCTGCGCGACTACAACAAACGGGAGGAGGACTTCGGCTCCCTGGCGGAGTACAACGACTATTTGGAGGAGATCGAGGACATTGTGTACAATCTGTGCAACAACATCGAGATCATCGAGACGAACAAGCGGATCGAGGCCTACAAGCGAGACAACCGCGAGGTTATCCAGCGCAACAAGACGCGCGTGGGTCGCGATGAGTACGCCTTGGAGGAGATGTTGGAGCTGGAGAAGGTGCAGGAGGAGGCGCGCCGGAAGGAGCTCGACGAGCTGGAGAACGAGCACAAGAAGAAGAAGGCCCGCGACAAGCAGGCGTTGATCGAGGAGCTGATGTACAGCGGCAAGGATGCCGCCCAGATTGTCACCGAGTTCGCCGAAAAGGCGGAGAAGCAGCGCGAGGAGGAGAAGCAACTGCCGCCCCCGAAGCCGGCCAACGAATTCTCCACGGGCATCAAGTTCGGCCAAACGGCCGATCCCAGCCTGCTGCCCGTGCCCAAGTCGGAGGAGGGCCCTCTCTTTGTCTACGAGCCGCTGATTGCGCTCACCGAAGGTCCCGCCATGCCGCCCACCAGCGATATCGAGACCATGGGCTACATCAACCACATACGGTCGGAGACGCCGCAGGAGAACGCCGGCGGATTCACCTCCACTTTGGCCTGCGAACGGGCGCTCCAGGAGGCGCTGCAGGGCCTGTATTACACGGCCACGTTGGGAGTGGCCACGGGCACATAGCCCCGCAAGATGGGAACTTGAAATGGTCGCACAACCAGAGCACAGAACGCTTACTTTTGTTGAACAAATGTGTCCTATATGAATCCATTCAGTTAACTCGTAATCTGCTTAATATATTTTTTAATGAAATAAATGCTGTATCGTATGTTATGAACGACCCATCTGTCGCGTTTTTTAAGGATGAACAAAAGAAACAGTTGCAAGCCCTACGCTATATTTCAACTCTATTTGTTAAAAACAAGTATACATTTCACATACTTGTATAACTTGAACTTAAATTCGTTTAATTGACTCCTTTAGCCAATAAGTTGGTGAATCGAGTTTTGTAAAGGACTCTTTTTTACTACTTTTCAAGTTTAAGAAATCGTAAAAGTTAATAAATAACTAGTTAGATAAAAAAGCAATAAGCCGCTTTAGGAAGCTTAAAATATTTGGTCCCATAAAAAAAAAAATGGGTATACTTTTGATTACAGACTTGGTTTTATTTTAAATACTTTTTAACAGTAAATATTTATAGGCATAGCACATATGCTAGATAAACATACATTGGATTTAGTTGGGCTCTTTATACATTACACAGATTACAGTTTAATTGTAAGGTAGTACCTCGTCACATCCTTAGTTCTACTTGCACAGTAAGAGGTAAATGTGTTCTGCGATCGTGCCACTTGCGAGATTTTGGCCACAGATGGACTATCCTAGCCAAGTACATGAACTGGTTAACTTAGCGACCTATGCATGGGCAATGGGCAATGGGGGAAGATTACAGAGTGCCGGACTGGTGACAATGAGTGAGATTAGGGTATATGACTTGTAATACATTTGAAATGTTGTAAACTTAACTATGAGCTCATGAGTTTCGCAATGCATCTAGGATGATTAAATATACACAATTAAAATAAGCTGGGAAGGAGGCTTCATATGTGGATTGGATTACGCTACTGGGACCGGATGCCTCAAACGATGCTCGTGGAATGTGGAAGCAGCGACTGGCGATAAGTGCCAGAACTATCAAACGTTCACGTCGGTTGGTTGGTTTACATACGCCTAGTAGTTAGATGGTAGCATAACATTTAATTTAGACATAAATTTTGGTCTTAACAATCTAATTAAAATGTTAACATTTAATAATAGTTTTATCGCACACGCCTTTTGTTGATTATACATAGCTATAATTAGAATCGGTTGCATGCGCTATGATTGTTTGCCAAACTCTACTGATAGGTTACTCGTTGACTCGATTCGCTTTGTTGCATATTGCGTCCGCATCCGAGTGCACTTGGGCTGTCTGGCGAGTCTACTCCACTTGCGAGTGTACACTTATACTGGTCGCTGCCCCATAACTCTGGGATATCTGGGGCAGATACTTCTGTATTGCTATTGGTTTTTTTTTTTTTTTTTTTTGTGGGTGGATGCGCAAAGCAGACATCAGCAGGCAGTAGTCATAAATTGCACCTCTAACTAAACAGAATCGTCTGCAATAAACAATTAGTTGAGTTATGGCGAGCTGCAAGTGAGCAAGTGATCACGAATACGCACCGTGGTACCACCATTTAGTCTTTTTGGGATTCTTATTGCAGGTCTTTACGTAGAGCGTGTTGTCCGGTGGACGCTTCTTCTCGCGGCAACTGCTCAACATGGAAGCTATGCTAAGGCACACGGATTGCACGGACAGCGCCGGCGACCAGTCCTCGGTCAGAATGGATAGGCAGATGTGTCCATTGCTGTAGACATGTGGATGCACGGGTATATTGCTGCCGATAAAGGTCACCTGGCAATTAAAAACAAACAAAAAAAAAAGGTTAAGACCACCATCATCGCTTTTCCTTTGTTCAGTTGAAATATTACCTCTGGCGAATCAAAGGGATATTTATTGTTGAATTTGAACAGCAGCTGGAAGTCCTCGCCCTCGTAAAGTGTGCCCTCGAAACCTTTAATGTTTATTTTCCATCTGTAAGCCAAAGAGAGTTATGAGTGTCAGCCTCCAACAATGGTGGGCTTTGTTTTCGACGCAAGTTGCTGAATTAAGCTCATTTATTTTTGCGTATTATGTGCTTGAATTAAACCAGTTTCAGTTTTCGCTGAACTTGGCCCACTCTGCTCTACGTAGTCCGTACTTACTCGGATAAGTTTTGCTGTACGCTTTCGGTATCCACGGTCACTCCCGGTGGCGGCTCCTTGATCAAGGACATCAGCTCTTTGTGCAGGCGGCGCTGTGGGGTGAAATTACCAACAAAGGGTTTTGAATTAGTCAATGACTTGGGTAGTTCTAGGCCTATCTTATCGCGAAACACACCTTCAGCTGGGCCATTCTACTTAAAGAGCTCTCAAAACTTATTTTTTCCGCTCACCTTATCTCTGCGCCATTTCTCCTTTGGCTTACAAAACGCCAATATACGCTATATGGCGTATACATAAAACGCACATATATATATATATAGAACGCAGAGCACGATAAGATAAAAACAATTGTCACAGAAATGTATAGAACCGTCGATTGTTTTTCCGTCTTTCGGTTCTACCTTATCGAATCACTCCCACTTGCAGGCCCATTTTCGAGACCAAAAACAAGTACGAAGTCAATTTCGCCCGTTCGGCCCACACATTTGAGCTGCTGATAAACAGTTTGATCGATAAGGGCAGGAAATTTGCAACAGGAAGAACACGGAAAACAAATCGGAGAACCCACTCGAAATCAAGAGAACGGAATCACAGAGATTTCTGAGAACTCAAAATACTATACACCCATGACGCAATGGCACCACTATATATTTTTTTATTTCGACCAGCTGTTCGAACGTGATATCTGGCCAAAGTTCAGTTTTATCCCACTGATGGATGTATACTTGCCTCCCAGCGCGAGTTGTCCAGCTGCAGGGGTTTGCCGCATTTGGAGACCGGCGGCGTTTTGGGTTCTTTGGGTTCGGTTATGATCTCCGACTTGGGTATTTTGTCTTTGGGTTTTTTGAATAACTTCAGCATTTTGTAGTTATTGTTCAGTTGTTCTCACAGTTGTTCACTACTTTCAACGACAGTTCTGTCGCCGTTCACTTGTCTAAATATTTCACAGATATTTCACGACTTGCTAGACTGCTAAATTTGCCAATTTTGTGTTTTAGTTATTGCTACACTTCAATATGCCAGTGCTTTTCCCAGGAGGCGAGTGTGGGCGAGGGGCCTGGCAGTCATTTCATTCGCGGACCGATTCTTGTCGACCAATTGCGCCAACGTTCGTGGGACGACTGCAGGAAAGCGCCGAGAAATTTGTGGGAGAGACTGCAGGGCGAGTCGAGTGACGAAGCGACATGTTTCGGTGTGCGTAGTCGTCGGTGCTTTCGGCACCTCACTAAACAACACCCACCACCCGCCACCACCCCGCTCACCCGATCTATATTACGTTTTGCACTATCAAAAATGAGCATTCGCAAGTGCAGCGAAACGGCCCAAACTAGTTTGTTAACCTGAACAAGTTGCCAGCACAGCTGGTTTTGTGCTTAAGTTTCGGAATCGGGTTGTGGCTGAGTCTCCCAAATCACGAGATGCTTCCGTACACCCGCCTACCCGCGAAAAGTATTGGCAAAAATTCTTATCAGAGCACTGCCCTGGCACGCAGCCATTAGCTGATAAGTCCCCGATTAGATTACAAACAGATAGGTATATCTATATATAAATACAGTGAGGGAAAACTCTTTAAATAAAGTTCACAGTTTTTAGAAACTTTGGTAACAAGAATACAAACAACATTTTAGGACTATAATAGATAGTCCTACAATTTCGAATTTAGGTTAAAATCTGCTACAAAACCTTTTCTAGTTTTTTCAGTTTCATTAAATTTATTTATTAATTAAAGTGCTTTTATACTCTATATGGCTAATAAAACTAGTTCGAATATTGGCGTTTGTTTAGATAGCTAGGATGATTGTTAGTAGATTTCTAAAGTATTATTTTCATCAATCAAGTTTGAGAGAATTTAAAAACGTTTAATGTTCTTGGTCTGTTAATGCCATTTTGCTCAGTGCAGATACTCAAACAAAAGGGAAACAAGTGCTCAAGACGGAGGCATACGTCAATGGGGCATACATTTCAATTGATGGAACAATAAGATCTTCGGCATACTGAAATGAAATGAAGACGAGTGTCTGCTCGTGATTAAAAGCAATCAAACAGCGCCCTACACGATGATCGATTATGTAAGTTAAACGCTGACTTACAGCAAAACTAGTTCTAAACGAAGCGACAGATCGACAACCACTTAGTGTGGCCAATTAAAGCGGGTCTATTAAAGCAGCAAAGTTCCGCGGCCAGATAGTAAATGTGCTTGGACCCAAAGGCCCCCAAATGCGAAATACTGAGCTCTGAAGTAGGCCAGACCAATAAACACGCGCCTCGCTTTGCGGGGGTTAGATGCCGTTTATTTTAGACTCAATCAAATCTAGAGAGCAAAACAAAAGCCGCTTGAATCACATGGAAATAAATAAATAAATAAATTGCAATTGAATGCCAAAGTCTAGGAGAAGAACGTTGGCAGGGAAATTTTGGCCAGCGGGGAAACAACAACGAAACAACAGCTAAACAATGGACTTTAAGAATTCTTCAACAACAAAAGCCAAGCAGAGTGTAAACAAATAAACCAGCAACTGCCAGACTTAGGGGGCAGCGGAAGGTTGCTGTTTTTGTTTTTTTTTTTTATTTATTTATCATTTTTGGAGAATATTATTCGGGTAAACACAATTCCTTGGTCGCTGCTGATGATTAAAGCGTGCCATAGACGAAATCTTTGGGACTGATAAACGTTTTAGCAGCTGATAAAACCGCAATAATTTGGAGGTAAGCCAGAGGGTGAAGGACGATTAGCGTAGACATAAACATCTGAGATGTGGGTGGTGATGGGAGATGGGGAAATTTAATGAAATGGGGGGCGGGCATGAATCACGCCTCTCGAAAACAGTTTGGAAATCGCATTTGCTGGCCAACCTTGGGCTGTGAATCACACGCCAGACCAAAATAAACTCTGGCCAAATTATGCAACTGGGTGGCCCAAGGGCCCGGCCCCAAAGCCATATAAAGCGATTTCCTGAACCGGAGAAATGCTAAGCGCATTACAATAGAGGTGAAAGCGGAAGAACCACAGAGGTTTGGGGTTGATTATATACTGTCGCTGCAACCTTAAACTTGCCAAATGAGCCACCCCTGCCCTTCACCGGCGGTCGATAAATCATCTAGTACGTCATCGCCGTACAATTGTGACGTCAGAGATCGTGTACTGGGGCGTTATAAATAAACGAAAACCTGATGCGCCAGTTTTGGCCTTATCATCCGGTCCAAATGAGAGTGGCAATCGTCATGTGTCACGTTCGCGGCGGATGAGCAACGAGTTCCAGACCGCTTCGAGAGCATCTCCTTTGCCGATTGCCGCTGATACCCAAACATATAGCTAAAAAGAACACTTCGAAACGTAAGCCATCAAAACGAGGACGTGTTGTTGCTGCAGACACGTGAAAGGCGCATGAAATTACATTAATATGAGATACATGCTGCCTAGAGGAAAAGGCAACGCCAATCGCCAAGCACTTAAATTGAAATTAATGAAATGTATCACATATTGCAAGCGATTTAAACACAAAGGTGTTGTTTCTCTGCGATTATGGCGTTCTTAATGGAAAGGCGATTGGAAAATGGCCGGGTAAGTGGCAATACGCTTAAATCGCATTAAAATTGCGCAGGTAAATTTCTATCTTTTAAATCTGCCGGTCAGCGATCACGTTTCTCAGGTCAGCGACTTCAAAAATCCGCCCATTTTGGCGACCTTATCAAGGGGATACTTTCAGAGAGATGAATTGCCGTTCTGCCATATGGATGTCTTCCAATAACTGCCTTTTAAACTCCCCCATTAATCGCTTGTTGTCACGGGGTGCTAATAAGGCAATCACTTCCTTATGGCGATGCTTTTGTTATGGCTGATATTCTTTGTGATTGGATCGCGAAATATGCCCATGCATATTTCATGATGCCCGATCAATTTGGAGGCTTGGTACTTCTTGATTTTCCACTACAGTCGGGCTCCTATAACTTGAACACAGTTTTTAATTAAGTTGATTGGAATAAGGAAGTGCTCAACATGTATATATAAGAGATCAAGCTTGTTAAAGACTTAGTTCGATTTATAGGACTTTGACTGTAGATTCCTCTGTTTCAAAACATTTTAAACTGGTTCTGTGGACTGCTGGCTATAGCTTGCTGTTTATTTTTAGAGTCCTAATGCGTATCTACCGGCTGGGAGCGCCGGCAATTAATGTGCTTAGCGCGTGCCAAAAAATTGTCAGTTTGGGGGGACGGTTGGCAAGTGTTAAGGGGGTCCCTGGGAAAAACTGTGCGCAACCGGTAATCAATTGTTTGCTAATGCTGAACCTGCGCAATTTGGAACCGATTTAATGTATTTCGGATTATGAATTTCGCGTCACGGATAATATGGCAGAGCGGCGCGTGCGAATTCGCGTGGCATCGAGAACTGAATGCGAGCGCTGTCACTGGCGTTGAGCTTCTATTTTCGGCGGACGGGCGAGCGATCCGAGTGAGCCATATATACGAGAGATATAGCTTGGGAGCAGTGATGGTAATGATACATTTTATATTTGCCAACACAAAGCACCCACCAAAAACCAGCAAGTTCTTCAATAAACATTTATTCTATATAAGGTAGAATGTAAATATTTTATATCTTTGTCATAAAAGATATCTGGAATGTGTATATGCGAGTTTTAATGGAATTTATAGCTTTTATTTACATATATGCAAAAATGAGATAAAGTTCGGGGAGATGTGTACACAACCATAGAAAAAGAATAAGACAGGACATAAGACAAAAGTACCTCAAAATTAATTAATAATTAATTAATTATTGAGGATAAAAGAATGTTTTAAATAAACGTTGTAATATTTTAGACTTAAATGAAATTAAGTCAAAAGAATCTCTAAAAATTAATAACTTTTTGCATTGTATTTAAATGCTACTGTTTAAACTTATAATTATGGAACTTTTGTAACTCCACAACAAGAATTCTAAAATTAAGGCATTTTATAGGACTTTGGAGAAAAGCTATAGGAGTTGTTACCATTGTATCTTACTAAAACTCAACTAAGTATTTAGATGCTTTCTTAACTCCAAGTCTCAAAAATTGATTACCAACAATCGCAAATTTATAGACTTTTGGGGAGTTGTACCATCTAGGCACTCCCTTCTCTGGTTGGTGGCACCCCAGAGGGCGATGAGCTGGCCAGGATGGAAGGTTTAGGCCACAATGCAAGTGCATTGTTTACGTGGCGTAAACAGTCATTTTACCAAAGGGAAAGTGCAATGGATGCCGTGTAAACATTTCGCCAGTGGGAGGCGGAGGTCACCGGTGGGTGTCGCAAACAGCGGATCGATTGCCGGGTTCGCAATTAGCAACCGGGGTCAGATGACCTCGAGCCGCAGAGGAAGGCATTCAATTATATAATCAATATGGGGGCTTAAGAAGGAAGCTGGACGGGCTTATCATCGCTGAGCGCTGCGTCACTTTTTTCAAGTCCGACTTGCTGGAACGATAAGATGACGTTGAACCTACTGGCGAAATGGGGAACTTAACGTGCGATTGCGGAAGGCAAACCTTCTGGCACTGTAAACATTTGCCCAGCTGTGAGGTGGTGCCCCTGCCATTCGTATAAACATGGGAAATATGAAGACAACAATGGAACTCACCTCGCTGGGCGACATCGAAGACATACTACTTGTCCTGGGGAAATCCGTACTGGTGTTCCTGCCGCTTCCTGCTCAATTTCTGGCTGCTCCGGTCGCTGGCTATCCTTTCCGTTTCGTGCTTGGCCGAAATCGTTGCTGCTCGATCTGTAATCCCTGGTTTTTGTGTTTTACTAAGCAAATGTTATTAGAAAAATAAATATCTGAGCGGACAGTGTGACCCTCGCGGCAGTGTTGAACAGTGTCGGCAGGCCAACTAATGAATCTTAAAATACCGCAGTCAGCTGTTCGGCGCTGTTGGTATTTATTTAAGTGGAAGTGCTCTAGCGCCGGTTGAAAAGAATTCGATTTAATCGGAAAGTATTTGTTAATGTATATATATATATACTAACCAACTTGGCTGTACCGTTTGACAACTAATTCTGACGGCACTTTGGGAAAATTGTTGTGAGCTGCACGAAAAATCCAACTTGCAGGTGGCGTGTAAACAGCTGTTCCAACAATGTACTTTTGATGTACAGTGTGTATTCGCTAGGCGGAATTGAAAAAAAAAACATCACACATTGTTAGACACAGATGAAATCAATAGAGTACTAATTATTGTACTCCAATTGCTTTTTTAAATCTATTGAAGGAATTTTGGTAATCGCTTAATCCTAATCATCATTTTGCTTTTAAAATTAACTTATCGCTTCAAAACATTAAACACTGTGCTCAACCATAATAAAAACAATGCGAGCAGCGTTTATTGCACCTGGGATAGGCAGTAGTAGTAAAGTTTATCTCTGGAGGCGCGATGGGGAGCGAATTTGACCGGCTGATAAGGTGCAGCCACTATCTCCACAAGTACCTTTAAAAACACGCGCTGCAGGTTGCGGCTCTCAGTACGGGACTGCCTTCCATCGGAATTGGGTGATCAAAATCGGGGCACAGCGGATACAGAATGCATTTCGGAGTCTTGGGCAGCGGCATAATCGGTCTGACGACCGCCTTGGAACTCCAGAAGGAGTTTCCAACGGCGCGGGTTTCCGTTATTGCGGATCGTTTCAACGAGGACACGGTTAGCTATGTGGCGGCCGGGATATTCCGTCCGGGCACAAGCTTCATGGGCCCCACCCAGGAAATTACGCAGTGAGTACACCATTTTCCCCTGGTCACATGTAATTCTATAGCCTAATTTCCTCCTCAGAAAGTGGATGACGGATGCCTTCAACTACTGGGATGAACTGCGTCGCTCCAAGGAGGCTCCTTTGGCAGGCGTGTGCCAACTATCCGGGTACATTTACTCCCGCACTTCCCCCTCCATCGTGCGGGTATGTTACTGGGCTGGCCTCTATCAGCGATTCTTATCTCACCCAGCTTAATTCGATTAACTTTCTGCTTGCTGCCGCCTTAGAACCACTTTATTGAGAAACTTTTGCCTGTCTACCGGCAAGCCACGGAGGAGGAACTGAAGCTGTGCCACGGTGGCTGGAAGTACGGATCCTTCTTCACCACCTGCCTCACGGAGAGTCGCCTTTTTTTGCCCTATGCCACAAAAAAGTGAGTACCTCTTGTTATTAGGAGCGTTACGATTTGCACTTTTGTAGATGTCGATGTCTTAAAAATATTGTAATATATTATTTTCCTATTATAATGTATAAATATTGAAGAACTTTTGAACTTTTGATTAAAAAAAAAATAAACAAGAAAGAAAGCAAACTTCGGCAAGCCGAAGTTCATATACCCTTGCAGCTATTGCAAGAATTAAACATTTTTGAAAACATTAAAATTATAATTTACTTGCGTATAAGTTTAAAAACATTGAAGCTATGATGATTTGCAGCTCAATTATTTGATAGTTATTTTATATATTTTTATTGTTCCTATGGGAGCTATATGATATAGTCGTCCGACTTTGATGAAACTTAAACCGTAAATTGGAAATATTTAACCATTACTAAATGTCGAAGAACTAAACAAAAAATTAAAAAACAGAAAAGTTATAATTTTTTTTCATTTATTTCTCCGATTGTTCCTATGGGAGCTATATGATATAGTCGTCCGACTTTGATGAAATTTAAACCGTAAATCGAAAATATTTAACCATTACTAAATGTCGAAGAATTAAACAAAAAATTAAAAAACAGAAAAGTTATAATTTTTTTTCATTTATTTTTCCGATTGTTCCTATGGGAGCTATATGCTATAGTCGTCCGATTTTGATGAAATTTTTACCATAATTCTGAAATATTTAACCATTGCTTTATGTCGAAGAACAAAACAAAAAATTAAAAAACAGCAAATTTATAATTTTTTTTCAATTATTTTTCCGATTGTTCCTATGGGGGCTATATGCTATAGTCGTCCGATTTTGATGAAATTTAAACCATAATTCTGAAATATATAACTATTGCTATATGTCGAAGAACTAAACAAAAAATTAAAAAACAGCAAAGTTATAATTTTTTTTCATTTATTTTTCCGATTGTTCCTATGGGAGCTATATGCTATAGTCGTCCGATCTGGCTCGTTCCGACTTATATACTACCTGCAATAGAAAGACAACTTTTGGGAAAGCTTCATGCAGATAGCTTTAAAACTGAGAGACTAGTTTGCATATAAACGGACGGACAGACGGACAGACGGACAGACGGACAGACGGACGGACAGACGGACGGACAGACGGACATGGCTAGATCGACTCGCCTAGTGATGCTGATCAAGAATATATATACTTTATAGGGTCGGAGATGTCTCCTTCACTGCGTTGCAAACTTCTGACTGAAATTATAATACCCTCTGCAAGGGTATAAAAATATTTGTACTTATCTGGGTAAAGATATCAAACTAAACCGAATCAAACAAAATCCTAGACTTTGGCATAATGTATTTCATAATGTTTCAAGCCTTCTTTTACAAAATATTTTCGTAGATTCCTAGATAACGGAGGCGAGGTGGTGCGTCAGCATGTCAATAACTTCTTCGAAGTGCCGCAAAACATCGACGTGCTGCTCAATTGCACCGGAATGGGAGCCAAAGAGCTGTGCAGCGATCAGCATCTGGTCCCGATCCGGGGTCAGGTGCTCAAGGTGCGGGCACCGTGGGTGAAGACAGCCTTCTACGGCGACTACGACACCTACGTGCTGCCCGGGTTCGAAACGGTCACCTTGGGCGGTTGTCGGCAGTTCGACAGCTACAACACGGAGTGGTGCAAGTACGACAGCATGGCAATTCGGGAGCGCTGCTACGACCTGTTGCCCAGTCTCCGCAAGGCGGAGATCGTCCGGGAGTGTGTGGGTCTGCGTCCGCACCGCTCGGTTGTGCGAGTGGAGCCCGAACTAATCACAAATCCGGACGGCCGGCGGCTGAAGATTGTCCACAACTATGGACATGGAGGCTATGGCGTGACCACGGCCCCGGGAACGGCTAAGTACGCCGTCGGATTGGTGCGGGATCTGCTGGCTGGAAATAGCAAACTGTAGGTGGTAAATTCATTGTTAATTGTTGGTCATTAAACTCTTTATACTCAGAATCTTTGAACCCTGATTTGATTTCGCTTTAAATTCGGGGTCATAAACTGATATCAGGTTTCACGGTTTCGTCAAGATATTTCCTGAAGGTTATGGTTTGAAATGAAAGTTTTAAAAAAGATAAAATTAATAATAAACTAATAATGTCATGAAACATTTTAAATAAGCAATTTAAATGGGTGATATAACTATATGCATATATATAGACAACTTATTTTCCTGAAGAACTTTTTTGCAGAAATTCTTCAGAAAGCTTGGCAATCTAATGATTTTTCGTACTTGTCATGTTTAATGGGGTAGCCTTGCCCGCTTTACGTCCCAATCTTTGTACTTTTAAGTCAAGTATATTATCTTATTTTTCAAATATACTTGAGTTAGCAAAATTTTCAAAGTTCGTTGAGTGGATGAAAAGGTTTGGCGCCCAGATAGGGTTTTAAATGGAGCGATGTGCCAGTGTTTGGTAGAACTCTAGCTTATTGAGTGCGCATGTCCGGCGCATGAATGGAAAGCTCCCCCCGAAATCGCCGCGAAAGCTACGCCCACACACGGACTACCCAGGCACGGAGACCCATCGATTTTCGAGAAAAGCAGCAGGAAAAGCAGCAGCAGCAGAAGCAGCAGCAGCAGGGAAACTGTGTGGGCAGCAGCAGCCAGTCAGTTAGTCAGTCAGCCAGGTTGAAACAGTTAAATTATGAAAACGTATACAAAACTGGCCCGTTTTCGCCGCAGCAGTCAATTCGCCGCCTGAGAGCGAACGAAAAATTGTGTGTCCTTTGGAGTCGACGTGTCGAAGCGAAAAGTTAATACAGTGGCACTGCATCTGCCTCCGCTGAATAATTGAGCCACTGCAGCCACAGTCACAGCCAAAGTCACAGTCATAGCCATAGCCAGCAAAATCCTGGCCAGACGAGTGTGTCGCGGTCGTGTGAATAATTGATTGGATAACCGTAAACAAATCGAGGCAACCAACGACGCGGAATCGCGGCGTATATGTCAGTCCAGTGCCAAGGCTGAGCCGAGACCTTTTCCTTCCACCTTCCCCCAGCGAAAGGAGCTGCCGTTTGCCATTATCGATTTGTGTGTATGTGCCCACACGTCAACAACAGCAGGATATATTCGCGTGGCAGCAGGATCAGCAGCAGCAGCAGCAGCAGCAGCAACAACAACAGTAACTGCAACATCTGCAGCAGCAACAACAGCAACCGCAGCAACCTCAAGACAGAGTGAGTGCATTTGACACATTAGGTATACGCCATGAGTGACCAAACGGGGGGTGTGCTATTCCTGGTTTAAATCACAGAATACTAAAGTAGCCTGCACGGCGCAAAAGGGTTATAATATAACTTCCATATTGTCATGTTAACTGCGCCATCTCATTTTGCCTTGCTAGCATTCTGCTTTGAAATAAATTACAATTCCGTTAACCTCATTGAAAATGTATAGTACACCATATCTATAGATATGTTGGTATATTCGTACTTTTGGCTCAAGCGGTTGTGTTATTATCTTATTGACATTAGATATACGTTTTATCTGACCCTAAGTAAAGAGCAAAATATTTTTGCAAATGAAATAATACCATATTTGCTTAGACAAATATTAATTGAAATATACGGATTTCAGTCCTATATTTACTTACCTTGTAATGCTTCTGTTATTTTGCTGTATCGCCAAATTCAACTTATGAAACTGCAATATAGAGCCAGAAATTGCCAAAGTATAGACTCAACTTAGACGATTTCCTTTTGAAAACTGCTACACGGAAACCATTAGAGCCAAGTTTGAGCTCGGGTTTTTTGCCAATATTGGGTTTCTTATCAATAATTAAACTAGCCCGCAGCTGCCGTCCGCTCAACAGCTGCTTAATCATTGGAAATTTGAAACATGAAAGAGCAGTTAAGGGGGCGGGCCATGGGGCCCGTCCATCGGCGGGGGGATGAGCAGCAGCCACCCCCATGCAGAGGGAAAAACAACAGAAAAAATCGATAATTACACGCAGCCGAGCAGATAAAAACATTTCCACACACCGCCTCTGATAAGAGCCGTGTGCCAATTGACTCGAGCCCGTCTGCCGTCGCATCCCACTTCGTGGAGCCCCTTGCTTCGGCCCCCCTCCCCCCTCAGGATATTTCTGGGCCTGAAGAGGCTTGACAGGAGCGGAGCCCGTTCTTTTGCCAGTCAGGCATCCAGTCAGCCAGCCAGCCAGCCAACCAAATCCTTGACGATGACGCGAGCACTCGGTCGGGTCTGTTACTTCAAGTCGTTCATCAGCAATCTGACAGCACTTTGCCGCTGCGCAACTTTTGATTCTGGGCTTCTGCGGGGAGGGGGGAGGGAGGCGGACTGTGGACAAAAGGATGAGCGGAAACGGAAGCAGGAGTTGGCTATATACACAAATTATCGACACAATGTCGCCCGCTGCCGTGCATATGGAAAACAGCCCAGCGAACAGGCAGCCATCCCGAATGGCAAACTGTAAGCCGAGACTGTTGTCACTTGGCCAAGCCAAGGCTAAAAGTTTTCAAGGCCGCACCAGCCCACTCCGCCGTCAAGTAGTTTCTCTTTGAGTTCTCCCAGTGACGTGACAGGGATAATCAAGTGTGTCCTTTCCCAAACCAAACCAAACCATACCCATCCCATTCCCTCCCCTTCCCTGGGGTCACAAGTCAAGGGGACTGGGGGTTATGCTTCAGAAAATATAAACGCAACTTGTTTAATCCACGCGCACGCGATTCAATTGGTTCCCATCGCACAGAGCAGCAGCTGGCCCCCAGTTGGCCCTGACCGGTGTTCCATGTTGGCCCTCCAGCTCGTCGTGCAGCTTGGTCAAGAAGTGGAGTGTCTATGGGCATCCAGGATGGTTAGTAATGGTGCAAATCCTATTCAACCAGCTCGATCCGTACCCCAATGTTGACGCCATCACCCATGCCGGAAATGGCTTCGGCCTTGCAGCCATTCTGTCCGCCCAATCCCAGTCCCCTGTTATCACGGATGGGAAGCTCCTCCGGAGCTGCACACTTGGACTCATTGACACTGTTGAAAATCACAACGCCAGGATTGCGCAGCGAACTGTGGCTGGAATTTGGGGACGACGAAGGCATCTGGGGCTTCTGCTCCGGCTCAATCCTGGGCATCAGGGTGGTCATGCAGATGCTAGTGTTGCTGCTACTTGTGATTATGGTCGTGGTATCGATGGTCTCCACCAATTGGCCCTCGTCGTCGTCGGAGGCAACGATGGCCGCCGCCTCACGTTCCAGCTCCCGATCCCGCTCCCTTTGTCTTTCGAGTTCCCGCTGCCGCTCCAATTCCCGCTGCAGTTCCAGCTGCTGCTGCTGCTGCTCCTGCTCCTCCTGAGCCTGCTGCTGCTGCTGCTGGCAGAGCTCCACATGGAGGTGGGCCAGTTGGGCGGCATTGTAGGGACAGAAGCAGTTGAGGTTGACCACCCGGTTGCCCATGTGTTGCACGGGCCGGCAGTTGCGGGTGATGGGCGCGATCCCGTCCGGACCGAGCAGCAGGCGGAAGTGGCGCAGCTGGAAGTCGCTGATGGCCAGCGATTCGGGAAAGATGAACCACTCGGTGCCCTGGTAGCAGGGCGGGTGGGTAAGCGATCCGCCGTACGAGTAGAACCCGGTGCGGAAGACGTACATCAGATAGGAGAGGGGAAAGGGCGGGATCTGGACCCGCCTGCCCGGCTGCTGAACCAGCCGCAAGTTCTGCACCAGCGGATCCAGGAACGGATTGTGGGCGGACAGCTCGAAGACGTAGCCGATCATCAGGAGGTCATAGCTACTGGTGCAGGGCCTGGGCACCCCCGATCCCGCCCGGTGCATCACCTGCATCTCCAGCGGGAACTTGCGGTGGTTGATCGTGTGCTCCGAGCCCTCGCTGTTGCACCAGCCCCAGTGGAACCGCACCTCCAGGAACGTGTAGCTGGCCAGCAGATCGGCCCCACTGATCGTTGGTGCGTTGCCATGGAACTGGGCCCGCAGCACCAGCGTTTGGCCCGTATTCTCCAGCTGGATGCTGGCTGGAAGATCGTCGTAATGGTTCCAGTTCAGCAACTCCCTAATGGCCAAGCGTTGGACTTGGCTCTCATCGATATTGACGGGGCTCTGAAAGTGGTTTTCTGCCTCCAGAAACTCGCTACTTGCCCCGCATTTTGCCAACCAAGTGTGCGGACCATGGTCCATGTCGTAAGCATATCCCGCAGCAGGATGCTTCCTGTAGAAGCTATTCAACCTACCAAATCTTAGGGGCAGTCTCGCCCAGAGCAGCACCCGCTGGTAGGCTTCCTGGAGCGACTCCTGGTCCGCCTGGTAGGCCAATCCCGCCAGCAGGCAAAGTCCCGTCGTGATCAGTGGATGCTGGACCATCTGTCCCAAAACCTGGCCAATTACCATGCAAATCAACTGCACCACCAGTCCCAAAATAGTGCCCAATGCGGTGTCAAACATCTTCGGTCAATAGATCCGGACTTGCATTGGGTGTAACAATGGCGGAGTAAAGAAAGTATCTGCAAACGCAGTAACGTACCAAAAAAAAAACCGAATCCAAAAACAAAACTTTCCGCTCCCTTTAGATTTTCAATTTATTTTTCAAGTCGTAGTAGTATCACTGTTCCGTAGGCGAATGTGTTTATGTGACTGAGTTGTGGGTAGGTTCTAGGGTCTCTTAAACGAGGTGACAGAAATATCAAGGGTGTTTCCCCGATCAGATCTATCATTTATTTAATTTATTACCTTAACCATAATCCCCAAAGAATATCAACTAACCCATGACTTAATTACAATCGTTCCAGCAGCAAACCGCTCTAAGCAAGCATAATGGCGAGTGGCGGAGACCCAAAGTGGCAGAAGGATGCCGCCGACCAGAACTTCGACTACATGTTCAAGCTGCTCATCATCGGCAACTCCAGCGTGGGCAAGACCAGCTTCCTCTTTCGCTACGCCGACGATAGCTTCACATCCGCCTTCGTCTCCACGGTGGGCATTGACTTCAAGGTGAAGACCGTCTTTCGGCACGACAAGCGCGTAAAGCTGCAGATCTGGGTGAGTACGACAACATATAAATATCCGGGTCGCACAATGTGCTGCCTATTTTTATGGGCACTTGCGATGTGGATGTGTAAAACTTGTTTGACCTCGATTAGTTTTGTGGGGGCGAATGAATCATCCGGAGGAGAGCATTAAACCGAAAAGCTGAGACATTGATTTATTGATCGGGCATCGCCACGACTGAAAGGCGCAGGTGAGCGCCCTCTCGAGAGTCCTTGATGTGCGAGTGGGGGGTTCCGGGTGCTTGTCTAGTTTTTTGTCATCAATTAAGATAAATTAATTGCTTAGTATCTTAAGGATTAATTAATTTGAGACACATAATAGATGTTCAATTAAATTTGTTAAAAGTAAAGCTTTAATAATATTGGTTGCAAAATGCTTTCTTATTCAAACCTCTTTCAATAGATTTTTGTTTGAATATAGAAATTTATTACTTAAAAAAATTAGGTGAAATCCAATTATTTCAGAGAACTTATATTTAGTCAGAGTGGTGTAAAACCATTAAAATACAGATTTTGAAAATTTAATTTCTGTTGGTTAAAAAAGGTTGACTATTTATTAAGTAATATATAATACTTAGATGACTTTTAAAGTGCAAATTTGAAATTTTTTTTTGTTTAACTAAAATGAATTGTTTTTTTAGGACACGGCTGGACAGGAGCGGTACCGCACCATCACCACAGCCTACTACCGCGGTGCGATGGGCTTTATCCTGATGTACGACGTCACTAACGAGGACAGCTTCAACTCGGTGCAGGATTGGTGAGTGCTTCTAAAAAACAGAAAGGATAAATTGCCTTATCTAACACTTGTGTGTTTATTCCGGCTCCAGGGTGACACAGATCAAAACCTATTCGTGGGACAATGCCCAGGTGATCCTGGTGGGCAACAAGTGCGACATGGAGGACCAACGGGTGATCAGCTTCGAACGTGGTCGCCAGTTGGCCGATCAACTGGGTGTGGAGTTCTTCGAGACGTCCGCTAAGGAGAATGTGAACGTCAAGGTGAGTGGGCGGGCAGTGATTGTGATGGAGTGCCTTACCTCAATATTACCGTATGAATCCCCCTCTCCCCGACTTTCAGGCTGTCTTCGAGCGCTTGGTGGACATCATCTGCGACAAGATGTCCGAGAGCCTGGACGCGGATCCGACGTTAGTGGGCGGTGGTCAGAAGGGCCAGCGGCTGACGGATCAGCCGCAGGGCACGCCCAATGCCAACTGCAACTGTTAGAGCTCCGATGGGAGGATTGGAGGACGGGAGGATCCTACTGCACCCCAACAACCACATCCGTAACAACCATAGACAACAGAAATTGAAGCTAGCTAATTAGTCAGCATTGAGCAGGGGATTGCAGCTAATCCCTCAGTAAGCCGACGACGACGGTTCGGATACCGATGGAAAGATAATGGTAATGATAATGATGATATATGTTATAGGCGTGCCTCCCCTTTTCGGGAGGGGTGTGGCACTGTGTTTGTAACGATATGTGTATGTATATCCTTTGCGTTCGCTCGCCTCAGTGTAAATGTCAAATGTTATTTAATCCGATGTTTGAATTGTAATTTGTAATTGGTAATTGGTAATTGGTAATTTGTATTTTAATCGGCTGCCACAGCGAAGAACCATTTGTTGAGTGTGTGAATTGTGTTGAATTTATTCGAATTGAGAGATCAAAATCGATAAATTGAAAAAGAGCAAAGAATTTAACGAAAGTCCGATTTGACGGTGATTCGGCACTAATTAAGCATGCACCCCGAGTGCTGATTAAAGTCATTTGATTTGCGGCCCCACGCAACGGGGTCAGAGGTCAGTCAGCACGAGTATTTCGAACCGTTCTCCACATCCACATGTATATACGCTGGCTAAACTGTACAGTTTGAGATGCTTGACGAAACGCACAAAGCTAGCGAATCGGTGAAATCGACAGACAACTAACTATAGCTACACTATCCTACACACCACACTTCACACTCCACTCACCCATGTATATGTATGGATACACACAAGCAAAGAGCACTGAACACACACACACACACACACACAGTCGGAAACGGATATAGTTAAACCCCAAATCCCTGGCTTGGAGCATTCTAGCAAACACAAACAAACAAACAAACAAACAAACAAACAAACAAACCGGCTGAGAGGTAAGCCGTTATTATTAAATATTATGATTATTATTATTATGTACGTATGTATTTATGTAGTGAAATGGAAAATTTTAATGTGTTGCAAATGATAAAAGAAATATATACATCAAATATACATGTATCGCATAGAGTACTATAGAACTACCAGACCCAGAACTACGTAGAGGTAATTGCAGTTTTCTGTTACCCGGCATCCCTTTCGAACACCTTTCGAACACCTTTCGAGGGCCAGAGTGACAATAACCCGCAGGAGATCAGGACCACTGAGATCCCCTCCCCCTCGAGGTCAGGCAACCGAAGTTAAATTCCCCCCCACCTCACCGCCCACTTTTTGATTTTCCCCCACAAGACTGTTGCGAACTGAATCCGGACTGCGAGTTACTTGAACCCACCGAGCCAGCTGAGAGATCGGTGCATTTAATTTGCCAGCCCTTCCCAAAACCCGAAACCCAAACACCCCCTTTTATATGCACACACCACCCACTTTTCTACCTGTATACTTCATGGTATATGCTATACTATACTAAACTATACAAGGCTTTCCTTTGTTAACGCTTTAAAGACACAACAAACCGCTGCCGCGACTAAATTTGAACGAAGATAAAGCGGGGACAAGGACAGGGACTTTGACTTTGGGGGATAAAACTGCTGAATCTGAATATGTAACTGAATATATATATATATATACATATGTATTTGCCAATGCTCGTTAATGTTAAATATGTGTACAAGCAGAGTTTCACTTGAATTACGATTAAATTAAAGGCATATCGCTGTATTATAAATACCCAAAAACGAAGGCAAAACAAAATGGAAAACCGAAATTGCACCCAGAAAAATGGCAGGAAAAACCACACGAAATGCACAACGAGTTGCTAAGTGCCGGAGAGGGAAAGAGGGGAAGGAAACTGGGATATGGAAAAAGATTATGGAGGAGAAGGAGATTCTATACAAAAATGCCTTAAGCCAGCGACTCAGGTCGCTGATTGGTCTTTTTGGCATTCGAACTGTTTTGTAAAATAATTAATCATACAACTTGCATAACCACCTCTTCGAGTATTTGTCTTTGTATTCGTGTGTGGACTCGCTTTTAGTCAAGACCCAATTAAATAATCCAACCCAATTAAACTAAACCGAACTAAAGCTAAATCTAAATCTAAACCAGAGTAAAATCAAAGCATATAACACAAAGGTAAACGAGAAACAATTGTTAATGAATTTCGTGCATAGGCATAACGCAAAAATGTTTGCGCTACATTGTTGTCATTTAAACCAATACTTAGCATATTGATTATTGCATTGTGTACTCAGCTAACCCAAATATTTGTAAACCCTATTCAAACAATTCCAACTCCAAACACAATGGCATTATTTGTATTCCATTTGAATTGCAACAAGAATAACCCAACTAGGAAATGTATACAAGAATGTCAAAATAAAATAATTCAATATATTATTCAATGATGGTTTTTAAACACTAACACACATCTGCATACCCGTACTTTTGAGGATACTAACATAGATATACAGATACACACATATATACATAATATACACATAATGGTATTGAAATTATTGTATTCCCATAATAAAATATATGCAAAAGGTGTATGGTAAAACGATGAATTCATTTTTCTATAACTTAATGGGGGTTTAATGAAGGTTTTTAAAAGAATTTTCTACCCTTTGCACAAAAGTTAAAAGTTATTTGATCATAAAATAGAAACATTGTTTAATGCAATTTTAAAATTTTTTTCAAGATTTATTGAGTAATCCAAATTAAAATTCTATTTAAATTGGTATGTTTTTTAAAAAGAAAGAAATTTACATACAAAAAGTCTTTTTAAGTTTGTCATGGCATTTATTTGTTGTTATAAATGTCTTGAAGTTTAAATTTATGGGGACATAAATGCTATATGTTGCTTTTAATGCACATCCTTGTAGAAAGTTGACTTATTGCCAGAGAGCATCATATTTATTTATACAAACCAGAATGTTTCAGGACCCGTACAAAGTAAAAAACAAGGTGATTCTCCATATATTTTACACATTTTATTCATATTGATATACTTGTATAATTTACAATTAAATAAGTCAATTCACATAAATATCGTATAATGTGTGCCACATTCAAGCGCAATCCATAGCTTACGTAGATACCACATTGAGTGGCAGTTGAGTGGAGTTCAAATGCAGTAAGTTCCACTTATGAATTATTTATAAATTGTACACAGTTTTCAGGGACATGAGTGGCTATTGCTGAGTCGTGGATCAAACTATTGAGCAAGCTTTTTTTTAGCCAGGATTTCGATATAATAGACAGATATATGTGTACGAGTATATATTGCAGGATATATCTATGCTGCGTTCGTCTGTGTGTGTCGCCTGTGTGTTCTATATTCCGCATAAATACGTGCGAGTGTCCTGATTCTATTTTATTTGCCTGCGTATATTGAGTTTTTATTGTACATGCGCAACGTATTCGTACGGATAGTAAATGCTATCAATTATAACTAACTCCCAAACTAAATGGCAACGTGTGCGGATGCTAGGCAAATGAATTGCAAACTTTTCGCAGATTATTTTTCATTTACAAGTTCCCTTCGACTTCGATTAATTTGGCATAAAAAGCTCGAGGCACACAACGTTCTCCTACCTTAGACTTTGTTTACTTGCAGTTTGCTCTAACTAATGACGCAATGAGAGCCCGTAATTTATACCATTTATACCGATTCTTATACCGATTCTATATCGGGCTATGGGCTAGGGGTTAGGGACCTGACCTATTTTAATTGGACCTAAATGCATGAACTCTCTGGCTAAATGTTTGTGTGGGGCTTAAAGATAATAGCAGAACGTAAAATGCATAAAATCAGTCTGACTCTTGTTTTAATACATAATTACATGTTATAATTTATAATTTATAATACATACAAAAGGCTAAAGCTGAGTATTTCTGTGTCTGTGTGTGCATACGATTAATATGCAATTACAAACGAAATGCAACTGGCGCTTTAAATTATGTAAACGCTAAGGGATCGTGTAAATAAATATTTATGTCCATATTCGTTCGAGTAAGTGTAGGTATGCTAAGCTGTGTTTACGTAAAATTAAGTGGTTGCGTGTATGTACAAGGTCCTAATGATGGACCTATGGCAGCTGCAATGGATCTTGTCCGGGGGCTCAGGCCTCCGCCTCCGCCTCCGCCTCCGTATGGATCCTGTAATGCGGCTTACGTCTAATGGTGGCAAAATATTGCGTCTGCTGCTGCTGCTGGTGCTGCTGCTGTTTGGTGCGTTGCTGCTGCAATTGCTTCAGGTGATGCTGCTGCTGCTGCTGCTGTTTTTGCCTTTGTTGCAGCTTCAATTGGTGCTGCTTCTGCTGCTGGGATAGTCGTCACACTGTGGTCTCGTCATCATCAATATTCCGCCTGTTTGTGACATAAAGTTGCCATTAGTGAGGTTGCAATCTGCCGATGCTACGGGTATGTACTTCTATATTTTCATCTACACTACACTAAATTACGTGCTTCACTACGAAGTGCAAGTCTTTGATAAGTTTCAATTTGCGGCATGCCAGGGTGCTTCATAAATTGCATGCGGATATGTGTTTAATTTATAGTTTGGTTCAAGCGAAAACATAATTTATGCAACTAAATTATCGAAGTGAAAAACAAATATAAATCCACGTGTGAGTGTGTGTTGGTGCGTTGGTATTCGAGGTACATTGTGTTTGCGTGAGGTGTTTAAATGTGGTTAAGTTATTTGGCCATAGCCCAGTTAATTTGCCAAGTTATTCAAGAGTAAATGGTTTCTGAGTGTTTTTCGGTAAATCATGAACATTATTGGGCGTTATAGTTGTTGGGTCTCCTAATTCCCGCTCGTTATTATATAGGAGTAAGTGTTCATAGTAGACTTTAATGTGCTGAATTTGAGTGTGGCTTTAAAGACCTTAAGGTGTTTTTAAATGGGAGATTTAAATAAAATAGTTGAGTTATTTTTAAACTGCTTTTTAATTTAAACAGAGTCTTAAGCCATAATCGAATACAGTTCACTAAAGACTAAATAGAATACCTCTTCCATTTCAGGAGATAAAATGACAGCTAGTGAAACAAATTAACTAAAGGGGACTTTGTTTTAAGGTTATATTTAACATAATTAAAGTGTTTCAATCTGTTGCTAATTCACTTTGCCACTTTGATTGAATTTATTGAATAGCTTTAAGTTGGGCAGCTTGATCTAACTAAGACTAACTGGGGGGGCTAACTAAAGTCCTTTTAACGCCATGTACCATATTGTTAGCGACCAGGGATACTGTTGCCTCTGTTGCCTGCGATGCAGCCAAATAATGTCGAACTGTGGAGATGTTTGTATATCAGGTTGTATATCAGGTTGTATATCAGGTCTGTTTTTGTAGCGGGTGAAGTGTGGGAATGGTGGGACATGATGGATATTGATGTTTATCGTTGTTAGTTGAGAATTATTAAATGTCGTAAATGCGTAAACTCAAAATGCAGCACGAAACTCGAACATTCGGATTACAAATTAGAAAGTGTGAAATTCAACTGATTGGAATAATCAAACTAATGAACAAATAAACATTCAGGGGCGGCAACATGGGGGCGAAATAATAAAAGATCAATATTTAATATTTACATTCAATTTAATATGGTCAAATCGAACTTAAACAGGTGCACTTTGGAATAAGTTTAAGAGCTCGAATCAAATCGAATCGAATCGAATCACTTTTATGCACACTCGAGCTACGGAAAATTAACAAAAAAGCCAACCGAAGACGATGATGGAAAGTGGAAAATGGGAAATGTGATGTGCGACTTGAAAATGCATTTTACTTGTGGTTTACCTCTGAGCTGTAGTTGTAGTAGTTGTAGTTGTAGTAGTTGTAGTTGTGTGGTTGTTGTTGATGTTGTTTGATTTGGTTGGGTTTTTGGGTTTGAACGGATGGTACACGAGCCGCCATAACATTTTGCATTACGTCGAATTTTCATTTTGCATTTGCATTTTTTATTTTGTTCGTTTATAAGTGTGTGTGTTTGCGGTATGCATATGTGTGTGTTTGGGTTTATTTGTTAAAGAGCAAAAAGAGAGAGTGAAAGCACGATATTGGAGAGAATAGAAGTGAAAGATAGTCAAATTAGATTTGCTTCAAACGTTCCCAGGACCAGCTGAAAGGATATGGACATGTACACGTACAGAGAAATGTTTATGATAGTGTTTGTGATTGTGTAAGCGTGCAGTGAGTGTGTGTGTGTGTATATGTGTGTGTGAGTGTGAGAGAGAGAGAGAGAGAGATGAAGTTTGCACCATATTCATTTGCATTGTTTTCAGTTTTCATTGTTGTGGGAAAAGTTGAATGGTACAAAAGGGTTTATGTCATTGTAGTTGTTGATTCGAATGCCATAAAGAAAAGAGAATCAGAAACAAAGGACCACAGATTAATTGCTGGAATCAAAAGTGGAGAACGAACAGCAGTTCTCCAACCAAAACTAATCATCTAGGCCAACAGAAAAATCAAATCAATGGATGGGCTGCACATGGAGCACAAGAAGCATTAACTGGCCACCAGAACCACAACAAAACTGAAACCAAAAACAGAAACCAAAACCGAAAGCGAAACAAAAAAGCTTGGTTGTCACAGAAATCTCCCAAAACCATATGTTGAATATGATGGCACAGTAAGTCAGGGGGTTTTATGTGGTAACTTATCTGTGAGAAGGGTTCCAAAGTCATGGGAAATAGGGGTTCTAAAGCCCTGCAAGCTGCAGAGATTTCTGTGACACACCAGAAGATGAGAGTCTTCCCGATTGTTTGGCGCAACTCACTCAGTGTCCGTAATGCTGGTCAGTGGCCCAAGTGGTTGCATGGGGGCCACCATGCTGGATGGCGGTGAGGAGGCTCTGGAACTGTGTCTCGACCCTCCGTTCATCGTGTGCCGCGCCAGAAGGCCCGGATTGTTCACATCATTGACCAGACCCAGGCCGGGTGGCTGCATCAACTGAGATCCGTGCAGCGAAGGCGGTTGCGTGTGACTCAGCTTCCTGGCGGGCAAGTGGTCCTCCTCGGCGGTGTACGGGAAGTGGTAACCATTCTTATCCGAACCCTCGGAGAGTCTGTCCTGCAAATGGTGTTGCTGCTGCTGCTGCAGCTGCTGCTGCTGTTGCTGTTGCTGGTGGTAGTCGTTCTTCAGCAGCGAGTGCACCGAGTGCAGGGAGTCCGTGGCATAGGCGGGCTGCCTCTTCAGGCTATAGTGACCGTCCCGGGAGCCATAGATATCGGGAGTGATGCGATCTTTGGACAGGTAAGGCGACTCCGACTTGGCGCCCAAGTAGCCGCTGCCCAGCGTTCGCTGCTTGTCGTATATGTTGTCACTCAAGTAGGCCGCATCCGGATGGAAGCTCCTCATGTGGCCAATAGTCTGGGAGCCACTTCCGCCACCGGGATAATCCTTCTCGCTGCCATAGTGACTGGGTGGCTTGTAGGAGCCATACTTGTCCGGATACTCGCCCCTCCGTCCGTACAGACTGTCCTCGTAGCCATCTCGTGCATCCCGGATATTTTCCAGGATCGAGGGTGGCATATTTATTTTGTTGTGATGCTGCTGC